TCATATGGTATAATTAATTAACTTTAGCAACTGGCCGTAAATAATCAAATATGATAGATGCCTGTTAATTTATAATACTTATTTTCTAAAAACGCCGTATCATACACGTTAGCCTAGCGAATAGTTATGTTTGCCTAAAGCCTGAATTCTAGTACTATCTATCTGCCAAATACGGCGCATTATGATTATTCATTGAAGTAAAAGCAGTGGCCATAATAAATGTATCTAGATGGACGTAGAGAATATATTAAGGTAGAAGAGAAATTCCTAAAGCACACAAGTTTAAACCTTAAAAACCTCGTTATGTCGAGCCATAACTATAAACGCAATACATGATCTTTAGTCCTTTGTGAAATTCACAACCTTCCCTTTGCTATCTCGATATAGTATCAACATTCTTTGTTTTTTTATGTCCATATGGACATGACTACACTCAGATAGTGGACAATTTGGAGGCTCATCGCGCTTGTTGATGAAGTGCTTCTCTTAAACACTTTACGTTACCTAGTTTGCGCGTATCTAACACGTTTACGAAGCGGATGCTTTGGCTATCGTTGGACGCTGTGACCTCGGTACTCAATGAAGATTGATTTCGTTAATTTATTTTGTGAGCGATCACCCATTTGAAGCATGTAATATATTAACGATCATGAAATCCCTCTTCATAATTCCGTGTAAATCTTGATTATCCTTGATGCCGCCTTCTCATATCACTTAAATTGTGTGATCAAACAATTAATTTGATCAGTTCAATCATTCGCCTCGAATCTTAGGCTAATCATGACTTGAGACAATCGCGAACGCAGAACGTTACAGCCTTTACTTGGAGACTGCGCTCTATTGGACATTGTTGTGACATACGTTCCTTATGTGAAGATCATTCGTTCAAAGGGTTTATTATGAAGTGAGTAGATACACACCCACTAGCAAAGTAAGAAAAGAAAAGTGTTTAGAAACGATTGGTACTGCCAAAAAGGTAATTTGCGGAATATACTGCTATTTTTTGACTCACTGAAATTTACGTTTGATCTAAGTTGGTCATTAATAGTTCACAATGAATATAAAAACCTGCGTTTCAGGTGAGTTGTACTTTGGTCTCAGTGTAGTCTCCATTTAGGTCGATAAATCCGTTATGCGATATAATTACCTCTGTAGAAAAGATTATCGATGTGTTCATAAAGACATTACTCCGCTCTGTTGCAGATTAAATTGTGAAAGAAATGACAACCTGAGGACACGATTTGCAATTCGTATTTTGTTATACCGCCCCTCATAGCGATGATGACGACACACATTTATCGTGAAATGCGAATTATGACGAGGTTTTTGTCTTTTTCGCCGTTTTACGATTTGTCCTTTTTTTGGAAACGTCTGCTCTTTATTGTTTATTCGTTTTCCTTCATCAATTATCCACACAACTTTTTACAGCCTCCAAATTTTCGGTCTGTATATGGTTAAGAATGCTCTTGGACTACACCGTTTTGCTCAAGCAAATTTTATAGTGCGTTCCAAGACACATTGATGTAGCTCAGTTTTATTTTTGTTGTCATTTTGTATTCCTGCGTATTGCAACCGTTCACTTTCCCTCGTTTCCTCAAGACTCCCCGGATCCAACATCATCCACTCTCAGCAGGCTTCATACTTAAAATAAAAAGATGTTTCTTTCTCTAACTAGAAATTAGTGTTGTGGTCTCTGAGCTCATAGCTAGGGACCTTCTTTGTTATCCTCTTACGTCCGATAAACCTTCGCCATTTCGGTGTGGTATGAACAAACTATCAATCTCGCCCACTTGGCTAAGTATGCGGACAAGCCAACCAGCTCTTCCATGAATTCTATGAATTTATTCTGTAGAAACACCAATATAATATCTACATTATGTGATGTGTCACTCGCAATAAACCTCTTTGGGACAAGATCTATTGTTACGATCTTAGGTATCGTCTTCTCAGTCCAATTTACACTAACATTTTCTCCATCAAGGGACTACTCTGATGCTATTGCTGCAGAGTTTTATTTCCTGGATGCGTTCTATTTCAGATCAGACTGCTCATACTGCTTTTCTTACCAGGTTTTCTTAGTTTCGTTTTCGCCAGCAGTCAGTGATATCAAAGCATGAACGCGACGTATCCTGTTTTAAGCAAAGGCTAGGCACTGCCAATTCATTCAGGTTTGTTTATTCTTTACCAGTTTTCGAGCCCAGGCTAGTACCTCGATAGATGACGTGTGACTTCATCAAGAAGTTTGACTTAGCTGAGGAGAACCGCTCTTTACATTCTACCTTCTCCTTGACGTCTATGCATATATCTCCTTTTGTATTTATATATGTGCCGCTGGTCAGGACGAGACTAGCGCGACAGATTGTTATTTTTTTAAACCGTCTTTTTTTTAAAAATTTTTTAAACTCCTGTCAAAGCTGACGATTGTTGTTGCCGTTTAGCGATTCTTTGGCGATGCCTTGCATTATCTCTGCCAACTTAGTTTCAGTTAAACTTTGTCGACATCATTAGAAGGGATATATAACACACTGCTTCAGCCTTTGCTGAAATCGTTTGTGCTTTAGCCGAATTTGCCATCAAGGTATTTTAATGTTGGCGTATGATTTTTGTTTTCGCCTTCAATTAATGACTGGAAATTTGTACCAATACTTCCAGCCATTTTACGAAAGTTTGTATTCAGTGCAGTATCTGGGAAACGAGTGGAAACTCGTGTGCTGCAGCGTCTTTTTCTTTCTAATGCTAGGAGATAAATGGATATAAGGCTGATGTAGCCGGCGCATTGGCAGTTTCGACAGATGTTGGCAACGCGACAGCCAGCACATCGTGTTTTCCATAGCTTCCATATACAACACCATACATAGGCTAATATAATAATTGTTTACCAGTTAACCTGGAAGAAAGTAAATCGTTTACCACTGAAGCCTGTTTCGTTCCAGTAAATAGAACAGCTAACAAAACATCTATTTGTTCTTTGAATTCTGTAAGACAACGAGAACCAGCGGAAGACTCAAGGGAAGCGCCGAAATAGCCTTTTGGAAAACACAAACCATAACCTTGTACGCACTTCCTAGCTGAATGAAAAAGTTATGGAGCTTCACCCCAATAGAAGTTCTCTCACCCGTAAATCACCCTAACCTCGTGGTTTTAGTTATCGTTAGCAAGAAGAAACTGGAGCAATCCGTCTCTGCGCGAACTTGCGACACCCTGATGCAGCAACAGCATTTATTGCTGACCACGGATAAAATCCATACGAAGCTCAACGGAGGATGGGTCTTCCGCCTGAGGTTGTGGTTCTACTAAAGCGTTCACTCAAGAGCCATGGACAATTCACTAGCTGATCGATTATAAGTGGACATACTGCGAAGCAAAAAAGACCCTGACATGCGAGAATCGATGATATTTACCCAATTTCATTCGAAAATCGCCCATCAGTGTCGCGACAAACACGAAGGATTCGGTACCTTAATTTTTCACCAATTGGCGTATGGTATTTAACAAGTCATCCAGCACGCAAGCTGTATGTTGACCACCAATTCGACAAGCCTACGCACAGATTGGAAAGGAAGATTTGGTATTGACCTTTAAAGTGCAAAAAATTTATTGTTTACATTCACAGGTGTAGACGATTCACTTCATCCATGTATCGGCGCCCGTTTTTAAGTATATTCGTTAATACGAGCGGTTTATCGTTCCTAACGATCGACTATCATCTTGCTAGAGTAAGATCTTGTATTGAAGCGCCGATCAACTTCGCAGTTCACTATGTAACACGTGTTTTCTCTTTTAGTCACACAACATCGACTCGATGCAGAACTTGAGAATAAGTCCTTGACTAAAGTCAATGCGGACCTTACACGACTGGGTAAATTGCGCAACAGTCTACCTGTTCGGGAGAGGACCCTCAAAACGAGGGACTTTATGTCTGTCCTGTTTAACACGCACATCGTAAAAAATTGGCTCTTTGGCTGAGGTGCAGCCGATGCGCTGTAGCTTTTTTTTTAACTGTCGCGAGTTCTCATCTAGCATGCAAAAGTGCCTTTTCAAAGATGGGAGCCTTTCGTCGTCAATCACCAATCCGCTCTTCAAAGGCTTTTCCTTAACAACCGTAATTTAGAGGTGCTGATCGCCGACAACCATACTTCCCAATTCGCTTCCAGTAGGTTCCGTCAGACTAAGTATCGATTTCGTCCACTCACAATCGTTGCACACTCGGTCAAAAGCCAGCTGATAGACATAGAAAAACCATGTTTCCATCGATTTGTTCCGGCAAAGCGAAAAGCCACAAGGCGAGTGTGCCCGTTATATATGGACTTACTTCAACCTGCCTGGTGCCAGGCCACGACCAACGAGGATTCTCAAACCGGCAATGAAAAAGAGAGTACTATATATAAGTGTGTACATATGCGTCGTCGGCGTTTCAAAGCCCTTTGCAATCCGGCACATTTCCGCGACGTCCGAGACTTGTCCACTGTTCGACGATGGTTAACAGCAAGTCACTTTTGGAAGAGGGCAGGGTGTTGGAAATATTTCTCTCTACAACATGATGTTTGTTTATTTTTTATTTAGTTTAATAGTTGCTTCTACTTGGAGTGTCTATTCGCGAATCGGAGTCAGAGGTGTGCCAGAATAAATCTGCTGAGCCTTAGTTATAACCGTTAATTCAACACAGAATCACAATTATTAGCGTCATTATTATTAAACGTAGCAGACAAATGAATGCATGAAAAACAAAAGTAAAATGTCACGGCTTAGTTATTCTGTAATATGTACGCTATTGAACGACATAAATTACATTAATGTGTTTGTAATCGACTGTATAAGTCAGTAGTCGGGATTTCTACGGCACGGCAAGATCATGCTAACACCATTGAAGCTTTGCCGTCCAATCATATTGACTTCCAAAGCGTTTCATTAAATCATCATGGTGTATTTATCATCCACCATATAACGGCACTGGGTAACATTCATACCCGTAAAACATTACATCACCTATTTCCTTGCAGTTGTGGAAAGTGTTTCGAGAGGTAAGCACTTTTATAATTCTTGTCCCAGCCCTCCTCGGACTTAAAGGCAATCTTGAAATGACTATGGCGGCAAGGATGTCAACCGAGATGAACACAGGACGAATGGACACTCTGAAAGAACAGTGGATCCTCATTTCGGGAAACCTAGCATTAACTCAGGTATAACAAAGTAATAAGATTTTGTTCTTTTTTTGGTCAAAATTGTTTAGCACATACATATACTGTGCTCTTTATCGTAATTGATAGGTATGATATGACATAATGAGTAATGTTGGGATTGCAAAGTGCTTGTTGCAATTAATTATCTTTTGCGCAGTAGTCCGAATTATTATCAATGTAGTCAAGTAAAGCCCATGGAAATGAATTTTACAGACTTCTTATCTGTTACAGTAGTTTTGTTAGCACCTTCTCCATAACTAGCTGGTCCTTGTTTTCTAAGGCACCATTGATTAAAGCTAACAGCTTTATTGTTATTTTGTTGATATATATATATATATAGATACGGTAAAATCTTTTTTTTTTCGTGTTTTCTAGCTTGTATGAAGTGTAATAATTAATGAAGCAAATATGATCACTTAGAATCAGGTATCCAATGACAACAACATGGGTTTTCATCTAACCATAGTTCTGTCGAGAATAGTCTTTTCTTTGAGGGCGAAAATTGTAAAAATATTTTAATGTATCATTTTTCCTCATTTTGCAGTGTCAGGCGACAGTGGTAGCATTTTTGGCGTCACTATTTGCCATTGCCATGGGAGTGATCCAAGGTCAACAGCCAGTAAGACTCGACCACAGTCTTCTTCTGACTGCATCTGCGCTCATTACGGCCTCCGTGGCCTCGCTAGTTCTAGGAGCTGTGATGTCCGTAATAATAATTTCCTCTAAGAAACTTAGTATCAATCCCGACAACGTATCTATTCCGATAGCCGCTTCACTGGGCGACATCACAACGCTTGCGTTACTTGCTGGTTCTGGAGATGTACTCTATACTGGAGCTAGTTAGTATGATTAAATATACTTTTTCTATTATTTCACCAATTTAATAATATGATGGTCAAAGTGCATATGATCAGACTTTAAATCTATGATCGCACTTTTTTCGAACATCCTTCTCACGTATGACATACTTTGTGTATCATTTACTCGGGGGGAAATTGGTAGTATGGTTCCATGGTATGAAAACGCACAGTAAGTTTCAGAAGTATTTTATTGCTTCCTTATTTCACAGAAAGATGACAAACAAGTAAGAATAGTAGAAAGCATGCAATTCTGTATAAATAACCATTATACAAAACTCTTCTGTGAATATTTTAATTTGGATGGTGTCTATTCAAGACCGACAAGGAAATCCAAACGCTTAATTTGCAAGAAAGGTTCGAGATCAGGAAAACATGGAGTTTTACGTATATTTAACACTATGTCACACGACATCATGGCACAATCAGCCATAATCTATACATAAACAACTATCACCGCATCTGTAGATAAAAAGTGTGATATATTAGTATTTTATATATTTGCTTAGTATGGAGTTTCAGTGAATGAGACAAACAAACAGGCAGTTTTCGTTAAGTTAGTAAATGATGCGACTGTACGATGAACGTAAATCGTGCAACAATTTATATATTTAAAAAAATCCTGGACAAACCAACCAGCAAAGAAATGGGCCGCTTCAAGTTTGGACAGTGCAGGGCATAATATTTCTTAATGCGGGAGATAGTTCAAGCTTTACTATGGCATTAGCAAAATGAAATACAAATGTCTCACAGGCACATTACCAAGCGTTTCCTCCAGCGCAGTTTGGGTAAATGGGATAAGAGCGGAAGAAATGGCCAGAGTTTGCAGCTGCATTTAATTATTATTAATGGCATAAACTTATGTTCCCCAAAATAACGTAGTAGGCAATTTTAAGAAGATCCTAAACTGAAGTTGATTCAAGAACTACTTCGTGCCCTTCGAGCCACAAGTCAACTCCAAGGCGATCCAAAAAATATATTAGTCTTAGAACGGAAGTACCGGAAACTTATGGAAGCGTTTTCAGAGCGAGGAAAATTAAAGGCACAGAATCCCTGACGATTATAAACAACCAGTCAAGCAACTGAAATTTATTAAGAACATTTTTACACGAAAATTTTAACAGCTGACGGCATGTCATGACATCTGATCTGGGTACAAAACGTGACTTAGGTCTTAAGTTCAGATGAAAATTTGAATTATTTAAACAAAAACATGAAAGCTGGGCATTTTCATATTCGTGACCTTCAACCAAGTGACTTCTATTCAAATTGCAAGTGTGTCGACTACGATGAAAAAGGCAAAGGAAAGGACTTGAAATACTGGGGCTGTTATTTTTTAAGATGTAATCTAATCGATGTGTTTACCATAAATTTATGAACATTAGGAAAGATTATTATACTTGTGATTTCGCCTGAGAACCACTCTAGCTAAGCACAAGCCTAGGACCACCGCACCAAGGATTGTTCTGACATGATAGCCAACCTAAGCGCGCTTCCATCTTTCCGAAAATCAAACTGAGGAGACTGACATTTGATGTGTTTGCCCCAATCCTAGATTACTTAATAAGTGTTTTAAAACACAACAGAATTGCCTAGGATAATACAGTGTAACGGATATTACTTTTGTGGCATTGGTTAAGCGCTTGAAAAAGATAAGGAGATTTCGATAATTAACTGGAAAGCAATTATTTCAATCAATCTCTTCATACCTAAATTTTTACCATCTGTGTTTCCACCTCCCTGTGATCCCACTTCAACTTTCATTTGGCTTTTTAGGAGATGTACTTCGTGACTTTCTAATCCGTTTTTTGTAATAATTGTTGCACTGGGTCGTTCCGGACGTGATCACTCTTCGATGTTCAAGCGAGCTTGTTTCGATGCTGTCTGTGTAATTAACGGTGATTGATAACAATGGAGGAACAACTTTTGAAATTCGCTAACCTTAGCGTTGGTCCTCTTGTAAAGAGGCTGTCGACTTTGGGCTTTTCCGTTATATTTTCTGTAAAATATCGCCCGATATCTCTACAGTAAACGGTCCCGACAGAAAACTTTTAAGGAAGTCATGTTCAACTTTTTGTTTGTAGGATGGTTCACTAACAGTTAGAGCGGCGCATGAAATATTTTATAAAAAAGTGCCCATTCTAAAAACTTATTGAACACCTCATTAACTAGTTGACCTTCTTCAATTCGTTCTACCCAATAATGATTACTTATTATGTATTTGAAGCAGCGCCTCTTGTCCAAACTGATTCCAGGATAATAGAGGACAACCCTACTGTAAGGACGCCTACTTTCGACGCCAAAACTAAAAGGTAACAGGTAGACGCACCCAGCTTCTAACGGGTTATTTACCTATATTATAAACCTAAAACTAGATACGTGATTCTCGATCTATCTATGAATAATTTTTTGAGCTTGAAAACAGCTCCTACCGGAGGGAACTGCTTAACAGACTACACGGCTGCCCCGTGAAATTATACAGGATAAGTGCTCAACAGAGAAAAAATAGGGTTACATTTTAGTATAATATAAAACAGCTAGCTAAGGTTGATCTTCTTTCCTAAATGACAAAGGATTGCTTGACAGATTTGCTTGGCTGTCTTCACTAAACGAACAAAGTAATCAAATGTGTGCAGGGCGAAGTTTGCGAGCTGTTCCGTAGGTTGTCTCACTGAATTGCCCCTAGGGGGCAAAAGCTGTCGCCGAGAGGCTTGTTCATAGTTGCCACGGCCCACACGAATTTGCGGTTCTCATTTTTGTCTTCATTGCTCAAAAGGTGTAGTCGAACGGCCAAAGCAGGCACGGGGCGAAGCCCGCGGCTCTCGAGCGACAAAACTAAAATTCGAAACTTATCTGTTTATAGTACAAAGCAAACGTGGCATTTCGAACCCAGTCGTTTGCTTTTCAAATTTTACTACCGTATCGTCCGACAGAACCGCAGCGCATGCTTGTTACGACTTTCTGTTGTTAAAATCGGTTCAGTAGTGGCACTAGACTGATCGATTATTTGTACGCAGACTGTCAAACGATACATCAGTAAAGGATGTTCTCAGAGCACGTTGTTGTAGGTGGGGAGGAAAATACTAAAATCAAGTGAATAGGGCGAAGACTGGTCACAGAAGAGGGACAACTGAGAAGTAAACACCAAGAAACATTTTAAAAGAGCTACAGCAAAGGCTACTTATCTACTTAAATCATTGTAATTTAATTCCCCGAGCATGTTGGAAGTGATCATAGGTTCAATGTATCGGAGGTATCATATATGTTTTGAGTTCTCTTTATTTAATCTACTTTACTCCAGTACCTTGTCAAATGCGTCTTTTTTTTACATTTTTGCAGTCAATGCAGACATCAATATTTTCCAGATAATACGATGCCTGCATGCTCTTTTTTTTTCGTTGATTTCCAATGACCTTACGGCAAGCCCGCTCCTGTTGTTATTATCACAAGGTTTAAACATAATTAATAACTAAAACCAATTCGATATCTATTTATGCAGGTCAACTATTAGAGGCCTGGTTGTACTATTTCTTGATACACTACAGTGAATCTCCGCTTTCATTTCGCACAGAAATCAAATGCAGTGTTTGTTCAGTTGCCTGAACATGCTTTTGAGACCATACTTAAGAGCAATATAAAGTATGTTTTTTTAGATGTTCGTGGTAGACACACCAGCCTGTTTTCGGTACTTCGTATCTCTGCCTGATGGTGGTTACACAACTAAAATAAGCACTAAGAGCATCGGCATAGGAAAGACAGCTAAACATTTTAGACATGCTTACATTATAAACGTCAAATATTTACGTCAAAAAATTGGAATGCGTAGCTTACGAAGGTCCGAGTTTTGATGAATTCAAGAACAATTAACAACTTTGTACAAATTTACGTGACTTTCTTGCAAAAACTATCAAGCAATTTTACCCCTCTTTCCGACTCAGCTGTGCGTAGAATCGAAAGAAACCGTTGGATTGAAAAGTAAAAGGCAAAAACCAATAAAAAATTTAAAAGACCGATCTAGAAACAAACAAAGGTTTATTTGAACACCGTACATCACTTCGTCAGCAAAATCTTCAGATATTATTTTGGAAACAAATTTAATATAATATTAATCCTCTGATTTAAAAAATATTGCTGTCTATTCAGATCCTTCTCATGTATTTCACAATCTGGGATGAAGACTACAACAGTGTGTAATATCACAGTGCGTTCATGATTAATGACTACTGATGGTCAAGGTCAACGAGTTGATAGAGACTTAACAAAACTTTCGTAAGGGCATGTAGAGCAAAAAAAAAAATAACTCAGAATAGACAGAGCTAATTTAGTAAGTCATTATATCAATAACTAGAGAGGAAGCAAACAAAACCGCAATAAACAGAGAGTATGAGGCATTTGAGTAAATCTCGAGATTTATGTGTGTGCAAATACAGTTTTGTTTGCCGTCTGGGTAATTCTGACATAAGGTGACAGTCGCAAGGGCACGCGGCACGCACAAGCATCAGTTGATAATAAATTAAAGACGACTAAGGCATTTTTTTCTAATGTCCCTTAGAGTAACGGGCACTAATTATAGTTGTTACTATTCTCGACTAATGCTTTCTAGATTTCTTATTGCCGGAGAAAAACGCTCAAACACTAAGCAAAATAAGCATAAAAAAGCATATTTTTCTTCTTCATACAGTACAAGACAATGCTGCGAAATCACATAATAGATTTATAAGTGGAAGAAAAATTTACCGCTTAATTCTCAGAAAATGTTGCCCATTTGTCAAATCAGAACAATCTGACTTCATGGTTGCTAGCAAGAAAATCATTTACAAGCGTATCCGATTTACAAGTTTTGGAAAAATTAAAAGAGAATAAAGTTTAGTGTATATCGCGCCGAATGAGTTACAGTTCGCCTATTAAGCGTTCCATATTGGACTGTGAGGATTGCGACAGCAAAGGTTGTTTGGATAAAGTTAAAATTGTTGGTATCTTAACATTTGTCGCTTACGAGTGGTTACATAAAAATAGATCAAGAAAAACTAGGTGAGTTGAGTTTTTAGATTTAGGTAGATTAAGCAAAACTGGTAAGATTAGCGGGAATAACATGATCCGCGTATTGAAAGGGTGGTATGGTTGAATGTAGCTATAACAGTAATTCTTTAACCGAGCTTAATAGTTTTATCAGTTATCCAGTACCGTTGGCCGGAACTCCAACAGATGCTTCAAGTAAAAGTACCACTAACCCTTTTCTACGTCGACGAATTGACTGGCAACGTTGCTAGCCAATCCTCTATTTTCAGGGCAAGATCGAGAATGCAGTGTTTCGGGCGGTAAGTAGCTATATGTAAACCTTATCGATTTGCCTTTACAAGCGGTAACCTTCAAAAAGATTCGATGTGGCATCTCTTTGAAAGAACTTAATTTGTAAGGCAAGAGGGACACATTGAGAAGTTACTTCTGATTATAGTGCTACTAGCCTTGAATTAAGGTTACGACGGGTCGCTTGGATTTAATACACCGTTAAACCGTTATTAGAGAATTTGTCGAAAAAAACCATCTCATTACCGAACTCTTTGATAGCCATTTAATCGATGAATTAGTATTCGGCACTGCAAAATATAATCGCATTCGCAATATGCCTTCGAATCATACCTAGACGAAAAGCGCTCTGGTCTCAAAACCATCCGCGATGCTTTGTGGAAGCGAGGTGATAGGTTCGAATTGAAACACATTATTTATTTATTGATGAAATGATTGTTGATGAAGCGACAGAAAAGTATCAGAGCGGATCCCAGTGCTAAAGGAGTCATATATATTAGTGTTATGCGAATACTACAGTTACAAACTTTTCTAAACTTTCAGTTAAACTCTTTCTGACAAGCTGACGGAGTAGTTAATAAACAATATCAGAATTCTAGTAAAAATTAATGCAAATTAACTTAATGCAAATCGTGTAACTCATGTTCGGTGATGCGAAGATCACTAAATCTTGGGTTCCAAAGACAGATACAATGTTCGAACTAATAGACTATACAGGAGGAAGATTTCCGAATTCTCCGGAGTAGAACGCGCGCCTCCTGCGAACGCAGACATTTACATGGACACATTGGACATCTAATTTGTTGTGTAATTTATGCATGTATGACACTGCTAAAGAAAATTTGCAACACGCATGAAGTGTTGTAGTTTTAGTTAGAATGCCAAAGAATATCTACTATTGTCACCTGTTCTTGGACCCAAATTTAAATCATTTCGAAGCAGTTAGAAGTACTACTCGATAAAATATATAGTTAATGGAACTAACCTCTAAATTTCAAGCTCCATTTGTATCAAACTTGGACCACTATTCTTTTTGTGAAACATTTTGAACATGTGCCGAACATTACGAACAGACTTATTATACCTCTTCAAATAAGTATTAACCATTTGTCAAAATTAAAGTCAAAATGGATGCAAATATTTTTTCATATTTTAAAACAATATTTGATCAATGACTTTCTGGCACATTTTTTGTAATACTATAATTCCATCGCTGTAAAACTTTTTGGCTTCGGACGAAAAATTGTAACATGTTTTGCATCAGTTCAGTGATTGATCTAAACTGATGCCACTCAAATGAAATAAATAGTAGCCTGATTGTGCAAGATCCGGGCTATGCGTTACAATTACCCATATAAATTTTTTTTCATTTTCGTTAGGTAGCTCAAGATGTATGTGGCATTGTCTTGATGGAAGACGACACCTTTTTCTGTTCACCGGTTCCGATAATTTTTTATTAGCTTGTTATGATCTTCTTAGCTGTTGACAGTAGAAGCCCAAATCAATGGCTTTGCCAGGCGACAGCAATTCACAATAGACGATTGTTTGCCAATTCCACTGCATCACCACCTTATTTGATGTCAGTGTGAGCTCTGTCACATATTGTAGAGAATACTGTCTTTTACTTACACATTGTCGTTCATGTGATCTATTTTTCATTACATGCAATCAACCCTTTAAGAAACGGATCGATTTTGTTGTGTTTCTGTAAAATTTCGCAAGTAGAATTATGATCGAGTAAACTTTCTGCGTCAATTCGATTGAGAGCCAAATATCGAACATTTTTTCGTAGCTAGCTTTTTTCAAATGTTCTAAAACTGTTCGGCAGTAGATGTTTGGTTCCTTGATGGGTCACGGCTACTCACGTGTCAGCTTCGGAAAACTTTTGGAATAATTTCATAAACTTTTTCGCAACTGGTTGACTATTACGAGCAGTATCTTTCATGGCGAAATTTTCAGGACGAAAACGATATAACCATCTTCTTTCAATAGCGCGTCTTGACCATATGATGTTGAAGTTCCCCAAGGGTCCACCTTCTACGGATGCTGGCCTATGATGAGATTCGGCGATCAAAGGACCTCCTTATTAAGGTTGAAACGATTATTTACGTGGGAAATTCGCGGCGATTGTGCAAGCAAAGACTACTTTAGAGAAAAAGCCAGTCATGCGTTCAAACAGAGCTCGATATCGATTAAGGATTATTGACTGTGGCAAAGATAATAGTAATATTTTGGAGTTTTGCCTGGATTCTACTGAAAGCGCTTACCCACGCGATCAAATAATTGTCGATATGGGCGCAGCAAATGTCAGTGCCATTAGGGCGAACGAGGCCATATTGCTAGTTAGGACCATTTCCTGGGATCTAAAAGTTATACAAAGACGCATCCTGTGGGCTAGCCTGAAAGGGGACGTGATAATATGGCGAGAGAAACGGGACGCACTTACCAGATGCTCATCGGGGCGGCTGTGAGAGACATTATTCCTAATGTTGAGACTTAGACAACACGGCCCAGTAGAGAACTTGCCCACTATCTCACCCAGTTTCTTACAAGTGTTGGGTCAGTCTAAGGCTATCTTTACAGAATTAGCAAGACCTGTTCGTATAGCTGTGTTTTCTGTGCACAGCGGGCCTTATGGACACGAGTTGGTGGTTGGACATGGTTGGACACATGGTATTCAGGGCTTTTATTCAGGCCCGAGAGCAATGTAGAACACGGTTAGTGACGGTGTCTCTTCGTAGCGGTATTAATGACATCGCATTTTTCTTCACCCTTTTGCGCGATGGCTGGGGCAAGAGAGATACTTAAGAAGGGGCGGTACTAAGCGGAAAGACACGTATTTTTGATTGTGCCTCACAACGGACGATAGGCCTGAAAGATAATCAAATGGCAATTTCTTCAGCCTTTATTATTGTTAAATGAAAAGCTGGGCTAGAAACGGCCAATCAAATCGAATAATAAAAAAGAGGATTAAAGGAAGAAGATGAGGCATGGTTGCGAGCGATCATTAGAGACTGAGCAGATAAAGGGTAAAGGTAGTGAATTCCCGCACGTACCTCGACTTAAGACCGGCAACATCTCACCGACAATCTACAGCATCAACGAAAGCGAAAAATTTGAAAATCGGTAGTTGTGATAGTCACCATCGAAAAACCGCAGAAGCTATTGTCAAACTGTTCTGTTTTTAGATCGTACCACTTACCTGTTACGGAATCTGAATTAAGCGAAAGAACCTACGAAACATGATTACTGATAAAGTTAAACTGAAAATCCTAATTTTCGCATTTATTACTCTTAACAGAATAACACGGAACCATCTATCAGCGTACCTGTTAACCGACATTTTATCGTTCGTGGCTGTAAAACGATATATTGATTTTTTGTGGAACAGAAGCATATTACACCTTTATAAACAGCAGCATATAATAACTACGAAATTGGGCAAAAATGCACAAAAGGAGTGATCGTATCATAGTTACTTCAGCCTACAATTTTCATTATATGCTAGGTGAGAGTTATTTTTGTCAATTTTGTGAAAACAGGTGTATACGTCTATTCAGGAAGTATAGCAGAATCCAATTAGTGAGTCAACACAGGAATTAGGCTAGCGAGCCATATTCAAGTAAACGCTTTAGGAATATTAGTATACTATTTAATTAATCTGCTACGTCAAGCAAGCGTGAAACAACTGTCGATAATATTTACCGATAATTATAGTAGAACGAAAAAAACTTTCTCTGCATTAATAGAAATGTACATATGACCTTGCCCACGGCACTGTCTCACTTGCGTCTTGCTCCGTATTAGAGCAGTGGCGTGCACTTTAATAGCTGTTTTTGCAATAAAATTCTCAAGTGCCGCCTTTTGAGCGTTTTGTGATGAGCTGGGTAGAAATTCTAGCGGGGAAAAACCGAACAATTAAAAAGTACATGGTAAACAACTACATGTAGTAATCGTTAGTAGTTAACGGTCGTGGCTATGTGCTTCAGACCGAATAACGGACTGAGAAATTTTGAACAGTATTACACGGTTCAAAAAAAATTCTGGAAGTTTGAGCTACATGAAAAAGAGTTGAGTTGTGTTGGGTCTAGAGCTCAGCGTTAGGCCGTGATAAACGTTTGTTTGTCATTTTAAACAATCAGGTCCTTTTCTACTGGTTTTAAAACAAGTATGATTAAAACTAAGTTGCTTTTTAAACAAAAAAAAAAACGAAGCTTGCTTGAAAGCTTTTGCTAGTCGCTCTATTTTTCCAAGTTATAAGTTGAGCTATCTTAAGCAGAGCATCAGAAGATTTCGATAGCCCCAGCTAAATAAAATATGCCTACTGCTGGATTAAAATCTAAACCACCTTATATTTTTTGTTTGGATCCCCCTCCAAAGTGGGTCTTTCGTGTGGCAGAAACACAACATTTTCGACACAAGAGTCTAAAGTCACAGTGAAATATGTATCATTGTACAGACAGGGAAAAGCTTTTCAGGCTACATTAAATAAGCCATCTGATGGATACAATAAGGAAACTGAGCAACGAACAAAAATGCTGTATTATTATACACAGTGAAATATAAATAAATTCATATCATTACATTTTGAAATTAAATAATAACTCATTCGCAAAAGGAAGACACGTGGTTAAATCATGATTATAACTGATTTGTTCTTAGCTCAACTCCCAGTCCTCGTAATGACGCGATTGTTCACCTATTTTTTTGACCCTGGTTGAGTAAAGCTCAAAGCGCCCCAGATTCTCTTATAGCCTGAATCGGGACATGTATGAATCTATGTCAGCTCTTTAGAGTGACGCGTTTCCATCAAATTCTTGGACGGAATCATGTAAATTATAGCCAAGTCTATATATTATGTTTTTCTTAAATTTACGTTGGTTAACTAAAATATGTTTCCTGTTCTAATTCTTCAGCCGATGTGCGTCTATACATATGCATTGTGATCTTCTTCACACTATTTGTTCCATTATGGGTTCAGATCGCCCGTGGAAACGTCTACACTCGAGACGTTATTGGCCCAGGATGGGTGCCGATTATCTCTGCTATGTTCATCTCCAGGTACAGTATCTTCTATCCAGAATGGTCTTTAATCCTTGAAGTGTTTAACTATATGCCGCTTCAACCTCATACACTCACTAATACGATTACAAAGAAAATGCGCATGTTGTTAAAGGGGCAGCGCTTTAATGTGATTAAAGCATCTGAAATCAGGATGTCCTGTATACGTCGATAATGACATGTGACGAATTCACGACTTGAAATTTTTCAAGAAGTGCGGTAATAGCAAATGTGCTAAGCTTAGTTTAATTTTTTAAATGTGGTGCAAGGTGCTTAAAAATCGCTTTACGTATACTCGGAAGAAAAAAGGTTGTCGCGAAATAAGATCTATTAAAGATCTTCATATCATGGTAATACTGGAGTTGGATTATTATTTGAATATTATTATAGCCATATTATTTGAATAACTTCGTTCTCTTAAAACGTACTTTTACCTACATAGTTTGACACAATATTTCTTCTGTACATCTTCTTCTTCCAATATTTTCTCTTGTATAATATATATATATATATTATTTTTGGATAGAACCACATGTTTCAAAATTTATTTTTAAGAATGTACTATACCAGATGCCAAAAATTGGTTAGACGAGTCGCTAAGAAAAGTTTGCTGTCCCTTTGCTAATCTTTCCTATCCTTCTTTTTGGTCAAATTTACAAATAAAGCACGGAACGATTTAACCCGCCAAATTTCGGTTAGTCTTCTATAGAATTGCAAAATCCTTTAAGCTTCGTGTATCTCTGCCTGTATCTACCAAAGGATAACTCTACGCTAAATCAAAATACTAGTAAAAAAATAATTAAAATTTATATAAACCAGAATAATAATAGTGGTCAAGCTCTAAGCAAGCTCATGTGAATAGGCCGTCATGTTACGGCGAGCCGACGGCATCTACTCTAAATACGTCAAAGCTTAATAGAAGCTCTCTGTGTGGATGTTTTGGAGCTTTCAATAAATGAGCACTTGATTGGTAACATTTAATTGTTCCCGTCGGTAGCTAATGACGATATGCCACTTGTTGGGGCATCCCGGATGGACCCCAAGGCTTTGAACGTATCACGTGTTGCGTTGATTGTTTACCTCTTCAGTGGCGTGTACCAAAATCATGGATCGACTTCTGCCAGACCTGCTTGGCCTTTTTCGTCTTCTGGTACGGTCTGATACTCCACCTCCATAGTTGATCAGAGCCATGTTGAAATAATCGGTGCATAGAACTTACAACAGCACGTACTAGTTATATGAGCAGCACAAAGGGTCTCATTTATACGACCAACGGCGCTCAACCATTGACTATACACGGCGTTACGCGAGAACTTCGCACGTGAGCTTCTGAAGACAAAATGCAGGACTGTGGAAAGTGTTACTTTAAAGTTTCAAATTAGAATATGAAGCATGAAAGAGTATCGGCTATAGGCTGGTGCCCTCTGCTTGCATTATTTCATTTTTATCTGAACCTGAAAAGACTTTTTCCTCATTTGCGTTTATTTTCGTCAGGATAAATGACAAAGATAATAAACGTAGATTCCAAGTAAAAGTTGCAGTGCAGCACCGGAAGTTTCCTATATGAGAAGCTACTGAGCTCTAACACTGTGGATAAAACAATTTATAGATAAAAGTTATGCATCTAGATTTTCGTTTGGAGTAGCTAGCACTTCGGTGTTTCGGATTCTGTTGAAACAAGAGACCACGCATTTCAATACATCACATAATAGATATTCGACACAGAGAAAGGGTTTTACGATATATTAGAGGTTTACGACGGCACTTGCTTCTGTTGGCATCTAATCTGGAAGAGACGGAAACGTACATGTACCCGTATTTGAGGGCTCAGTTGGCGGTCAAGTCGATAAAATGGTTAAACGCTGGTCAATCGCAAGTACACGCCACTGTCATATTATATTTTGTAATATGCTTATATATAAGCATATATAATATATACGGTATAGTAAAAATACTAGGGTTGTATTAGGGTGCCTCTATCTCGCTCAAATAAAAAGACATTCTACGTATCAAAGCGGCATCTTTTCAGCCACAAAAATAGCTGGATGCGGAGATCTATCGAGATATTTAAAAAAACGGCAGAATGTTTGTCCATTACCTAGCGCCCGTTGCGGAGCGCTCCATCGTAAGTCACTCACGGAACTTCTGTACATACGGTGAAAAAGCTCGCACAGAAACGGACCCCGCTAGCGAGCCACAATTTGCTAATATTAATTCACGAGATAAAAGATAAAACAACAACAATATAACCGTGTCAAAAGCGCTTACAGACGCACTTTTAATACCGGGGAGGAGCTTCATGTATAATCGGTGAAAGCGGTTTTGTGATGCACAAGGTAAGCCTATAAACATAGGCTTTTTGCAATCAGGGCCCAAATAGAACTGCATCCATATTAATATATTTTGATATTAGATAACACATGTAAATTATTTAAGTTCTCGACAAATGCTTTTCACGCCGATACAATAGGGTGGAAGATTAAAAGAAACCATTTCAAAGAGATTACTCACAATGGGCTGCCTTAAAGAAACGAAAAAGGAATTGAGAGATTTAATCAAATCAAAAAAACAACAATGAGCAACATAAAATAAAAAGCAAATAATAGTAAAGGTCAATAGCATATATATATATATATATATATTGATTGCAAAAAGATGAGAATAGGAATTAGAACGTTATTACAATTATGTTAATTTTCTTTTTCGACCCTAGTGCGGCTGGTTCCATCATGGACATGCATGAACACCTGTTCCCAAGACTTCCACCTTTACAACCAGTGATCGCGGGAGTGGCCGGAAATCTTGTGGCGACCCAGTCATCTCGAATTTCTACTTTTCTGTATGCTCACTCCGAGTTTCACGCTTCACAGGTAAACTCACAGATATCTGTGCTTTTTCCTAAGTCTCTAATACAAGTATTTCCATAGAGTATTGAAGTTATCCCCCTAGAGACGCATATTTCATACAGCAGCATTACCTTTGTAGATTTTTAAAAATTATATTTTTGAATCTAATAATTATACTAATATGCTCAACAGTCCCGAAACATTTAATAGAGCGAAAAAATATTCTGAGAAGAGTCATGTGAAAAACATGTCGTAGGAAATACATTCACCTGAATAACAATTTCAATATTACAAGGAAAGATTGAAATGTCTCATCTCGGACAAAAGAATCAAAATCGGAACACATAGAATATCATCTTGTCAAGCTATCAAGGTATACTATGTAGATATTTAATGGAATTTTTTCTGCACTAGTTTTATTTGCCTTTAAGCCTCGCTGGCAGAGAGGATTAAATAGTTTTGACTATGTTGCGGTTCAAAAATCTTATCCACTCGCGATTTAGGTGATCCATTTGATAGTCCTGTGCAATTTCCCAACGTTTCCAAAAACGAAAGGCCCTGTCGTAATTCAGTACTGGGCACTTCCACCCCCCACAGGTCAACGTGCGATTTCAAATATTTTTCGGATATTGTATGTCCAATAGTAATATAATTCTAGCATTTTACATGTCCACATCAATCGTTAAATAATAGCTGTCACGATTTATTGACACAAGTATTCCATAAAATAGATTTTTACGATATATCCTTCGTCGAATTGAAAGGACTATATATTCTAAGAGTTATTTATAAAAAGTAAGGCTCAAAGGCTCCTTTTTGCAACACCCTCTCTTTAAAAATCTGATATTTTGACGACTTATACTCATTTAGCTTCAACTCCATCTTTAATTTCATTCATCTTACTTCCAGTCGTCATGTTGGATTTAGCAAGGGCCACTCTAGTGAGGCTGCCCTCTGCATGAGTCACCATTATGTTAAAATGCATACTGTCGACGGCACTGTTCATTAATATGGTCAAACCTTCAGCTATCTTCGTAAGCCATTAACCATTAATCCACCTTGGATTATCGGATGAAACTTGTAGGAGGTTTATGAAATACTGAACGATGGGATTTATCCAAATCGACATCAGCAGTGTTTTATGCCGCAGTATAGCTACTTTTTCTACTAAGGCATCGGCCAGGCCACTGCTCTAGGGTCTCATCCGGTTTGTACTCCATGTGAACCTCTTACCATTGGAAGTAACTTTTAAGCCTCTACCACAGGTTTTGCTAGTAGAAAGTATTGACATCTCAATGTTAGCTGGAAAGTAGAAATCAGTTCGCCACTAACGACTTCGTACTGATTGACCATCACTTTTTGATTAGCATAAGGTTTATCGCTTCCTAAGACTTGCACTTAACGCTATCAAAATAGTGGTAGTTTTGTAATTCTTCTTGATAATTAACCAGTTCCCATTATATGTCCTCTTTTTAAATGTCTCCGCATAGTTTTTGCCCTTTTGCACCTCAACAGGCCTGGAATTTATTATTATCTATTGGGTAAACACAATTATATATCTTGCGGATGACTAAAGGCCGATTGATAGACTATTTCTAGATAAAGAGTTTGGTCACTCTGCGGTACTTGGGTAAGCCTTGAACACTGTGTAGTTTATGTTGAAAGCGAGTTCTTGAAATAGCGAGCCAGTAAATGGTCAGAATTTTGACATTTTGAACAAGTTCTTTAGTGGGTTTTTGAAATCTCACCCTCCAGGCTGCTATATAGTAACACAAAGGAGATTCGCAATCATATATACGCATGTGACAATATCGGACTAAGATAGAACAAACGTGCAACTGCCACCTTTCATTTTATCATGCTTTGGCTAGCAAGCTTCGCCTATTTCATATGTTTCTGCAGCGAAGGACCCAAACCGTTATGATGAGGCGAAATCTCATGGTGAATTACCTTGAGATATGGCCATTTGACGAAGTAATTATAAGGTGACTAATTAAGTTTTAGATGCATTTAGTATCTGCTGGAACGGGGAAAATGCTTTTATGACACATCCTGGGAACCGCCTTTGCATTTTCGTTTTTGTTCACTTGTGGTATATCAAACAATCAGTCACCTGCAAACGCTATTGTACCATAATGCGGGTAGTATTATCGTTCGTCGATATAATAAAATAATGTTAATATTTGAAATTTGAAAAAGCTCTATCGACAGACTGCGTCGAGTTGTGTAAGCCGGTATTATTACGCTGTTATGAACGACGTGTTTTCCTACCTGTATTTCTACATAGATATATTACATTAATGAGAACAAACTGCGCTTCGTTTTGCCTGAACAAAATCATCAACTACCATTTTGTATATTTGTTTCCTTTAGTAGTATTGTGCTAGTTAAGCATCACTAGCTTCGCTAAGCGACACGAACCAATAGAGCTAAGCCAATGCAGCAATTTGTTAATCAAAGCAAGAAAACATCGTTAATGTACCAGGTTAAATTGCACAGTTGATCAAGAGCGCTATAAAAATGTTTAGTTAACGATTACTCACCTATTACGATTAGTGACGAGCTGCCATCCAATGCCCCTGGTTTTTTCGACGTTAGTGGCGTGTGCAACCTCTAACATCAAAAAAAGATAGAGGAAAGGGAACGCCGCACTACCTCCGACAAGGCTGAACTGACGTATAGTTTCTTTTCCTTCGATAGAAAACGAATGCTCTGAAAATGATGATTTCCTTGCGTTCTACAGCAATACTACCGGCAAGCTCGTGCGTCTATGCCGACCGTTGCTTTGTCCATCAAAAATGCTCTTCGAAATTCAGAACGTCCATAGTGTTAGCTATACTGTCACCGTTGATTTGTTATACGTGAACCGAGAAAAAAAACTAAGATATAAATATGTAATTGTGGGTTTGCGTACTGTTGTGGCAATAAAGTCATCAAACGACTTCAAAGGGTCTACGTACAACCATGTTTACATGGGAAACTTTGTCTATAAAAAGCCCTGCTTCCCTGCTCCACAAATACCCACTCTGAAAGTGAGTCGCCTTTGTCAAAAAAGAACTGCAAATAAAAATACACAAAAAAAAGTGTAATGAAAAAGCAACCTGCTATTGACAGAGCGTTCAACCAGAAAGGTCCAGCGAACCACTAAGAAACCTCTACTGAAGTTCGCCTAAATTTGGCAAAAACATTATCGCGTTTTTATAGCCCAACGTTAGTTTTCAACAAGAATACCCCAACTTCAAACAGCCATAGCCTGGATCTCGGCAGCATTTTAGTCCTCGTGATTCCTACCGATCTTTAGCCGAAGGATTTGAGTAGGGAATGGCATTGCGTACTAAATCACGGTCAAAGTGTCGCACGGCTACCTTCAAAAATAAGCTTCGTGAAATCTCACCTACCAAGGACTGTTCAGACTATCAGAGTAGAAGCAGCGACTACGATAGCCCTTGCCAGGATAAAGACGGAAGTAGAGAACAAGCCAGATACACAGCCTTCGGCAATGTCACAGACAAACTCAGCAAACACAGCTAGAGAGAGTATCTAAAAACTAGAAAGCTATACTATTTATTAGCAAGACAAAGTGTATAAATCTGTTTATTAACCAGGAACGACTTCTAGACTTATTACCGGAAATGGTTAGATGTACGGGAATGAGGCTTAACCGGGATCTGATTGGAACCTTCAGCTGTGAAGCAAGCAATAAAAAAACAATTCGAGCACACAAACCTTAACAAATTAGGAAACGGAAAAGTCTCTACTTGTTTTAGTAGCGGATTATATCGTTCTCTACACTTATAAATGCGTCCTCTGAACGAAAGCTACCGGTGTTTTCCGGATAAGTAGAGCAATCCAGTTTACTTCGTTGTCATCATAAGTCAAGCGGTATTGTGAGCCATATTGATCAACAAACGGGAAGAAATGTACCGGCATGCTCACTCGACGGAAAATTTCGATATTAAAAGCTTTATAATAAGAGTTACCCTTGGCAATTCTTGCCCTCTTTTTTGTTCGAGGAGTATCTTACTGTTAAAGAGTAATAGGGGAAAATTTTTAAAGGAGAGACCATCTACAAATTGATGTGAGTGTTGCCGGCATTGGCCACCAATCTACGAATCTCATGCGTGCCCGGCATACATGGTATGACTCACACACTCAATTACCACGTTCTTCGAGGATGAGCGTAAAGAAGTTGTAACAAAATGAAGGCTAATATTTAGGAGTGAACTATAATGAACGTAGTAAATAATATCATTATTCTAATAACATTGTAAAATGAACGCCTCCAGATGGCTGAGAGCTAGATGGAGATCCTTACAACACATCACTAAGGAAATGAAGCTCAAAGGGGAACAACAGCAAGAAGAACACATTTAGAAAGTAGCGAGTTTTGCATTTTGCATTGAATAACAAAAATGCTAGTAATAAAAGTTAAAGCTACTTATCGTAAAAAATTTGCAATCGGCATCCAATATTTTCTAGATCCATAGTTGTTCATGGAGCACAGCTACGTACAATATCTGCTACTTGCTGTTGCTTTTGTTAACTGTGGCTGAATTTTTGCGGGTTTTACGAATTTTCACGTAATTTCTTCATCCTGACCTTTATCTTTCCAGCGGACCACGCGCTGGTTTGCGGGATCTGTGGCAGTAGACCTGTAAGACAACGGCTCCAGATTGACCTCGCTTAAATGAATTCTCTATTAACCGACATCCTCACATAATTGTTGTTGCTATTATTAAAAATTTGTCGCAAAAAGCTAGATGTTAGAAAATTTAAATGCCGCTGAACCATTGTCATTAACTGTGATAAAAAATTTAGCCATTGCCTTGTTATAATAAAACATCGCCATTTTCGTGAATATCGCTATTTTTAAAACGGCGTTAACCTTTTGGCCAGTTGCTCGTTCTGTTTCGGCCTAGCGGTTTCTCTATCCTAATAGTGTAACGGGGATGTCGAAAGTTTTATCAAAACTTATGAATAGATGCTAAAATCATTCGCGGTTTTTCATTTTTCGAATTCAGGTTTCGCCCAAATTTGAAAAACGATTTGGCCGACATAAGTGAGTGTTTCTAGCTAAAAAAAATCCAAAACAAATTTGTACGCTTTTTCAGGTATGCGTGAGTCCCGTTTCAGTTTTCCTTGGTAAAGGTCGCAATTCGCGGACAGCTCGCATCCTTCTGGCATTGGTCATTCCTGGTCATTTAATTTTTACCTACTTCTTATCATTCTTCGTCGGGCAACTCAATTTAACCGTCCCTTTCCTCGGGCTTTATTTGCTCTGCGCATTGTTCCAGGTATTGTATGTATTACAAACTGGCAATATGTGTATCCTTAACTAAATGTCAAAACCCTGTCTTAGTAATGATGAATTACTAGAGGATTAGCCATATGCAGGGCTAACTAAAAGTTCACCATATTTTTCATCGTCGTAACATTAATCGGAGCAGCTTCGTGTTAATATTACGATAAATTACAGTGCTCTACACATCGTTGCATAATATGCTTTGTCTTCTTGACTGATTGGATATCCTTTCATTTTTATATCGAATTCAAGATAATCTTCAACCTACTTTATGTATGTTTCGTGTAGTTAAAAAGCTTTTTACTTTGAAAATATAACAGCGAATACTGCAAGCGATCCAAGGCGAGAACTCAACCCTGGTCTTTTGATTTATGACGCCTGTTGTGATTTTATGTGTACCGAAAAAAATCCACTAGATGATGCCAAGTCGTACGCACGTTTAGCAGAACATTGTCAAGCGTTTCAAAAACTTATCAAAGCCCTATTGATTAAGGTGTCCATCCCCTTAGATGTCCTGGGTGCTTTCTACATCTGCCTTGGAAGAGTAGATATTTCCTTATTACTGATCTCAGCAAGTTATTTTGCAGCATGGTATTAAACTCGTTTTCTTTTTTAATTCTTCTAAACGTCCGGATATAGTACGATACATAAAAAAACGGGCACCTTCAAAGTCGCTTGGTGTCGTTCCGATCTACCATTGTATCGGTGCTACATCAGCCTTCTCATTAGTCTAGTCTCATGCACATTTGCAGACACGTCATCAGATTAAAAAAAATTACGGGAGTAACTTCTCCAGTTGCAGGATGTTAACCATTCAAGCTAACATACCACCGCCTAGCTGCCGGACCGAAAATACGTATAATTTTTTTAGAAGTATCGATCCTCATTGAAAAATCAAAATAGAATGTTTTTTTTTTTCATATCAACTACAGACATCCCCGAATGACAATTTGCTTCTCTCAACCACCAACCACATTGTTAATTTCAAATCGGTCCCAAAGCCACGTAGATGTTTTGAAAAACTAATTGTCAAATTTTGCAAGGGGCGTTACAGCGGTGTCTGATTTGTAATTTATGTGTTTTGATCCGTTGGAGTCCGGTTCACATAGAGCACTTAAATTCGGGCTGTTAGTAGATTTTTTTAATAGAATTTGTAAACATTCAAGGGCCAAGCAATGCCCTAACTTGTAAAACACCTGAGTCTAAATCAGATTGAACACTTGGAAATTCTTGAATAATCCTTGAATATAAATAAGCCATTTCCTAAGCTAGCTGACGGTGTCGCACTCAACGAAAACGATGAACAGTTGCGTTCTAAAAATGCAATCTGCTGCCAATTCGGCAGAGAAGGAAACCCAAAGAGCGGCCTTCACTAAAATCACGAATAGCAAAGTAACTCCACAGAGCTTCAACTGGGCATTATTAACTTGGGATCTGATACTCGGAAGCATTAGCAATACTAGGTGGAGACGACTGTTGTTACGCAGCAGAATTCAACGTCAATCTAATAAGATGCGGCATAAGTCAAATACAAACAGAATATACATAGCGAGGCTTGACCATCAGCAATTAAGTGAAGGTGTTTGTCTGAATTTGCCACGTACCGGTTTTTCTTAAAAGAACTGAAGTATAATCTTCCAGTTCCGAATTCCAAATCTTAGGATTACTGCGTTAATAAATTATTGCTTCGCTAAAAGCCCACTTGCCCAATGTTTTCACCATAGTTTATAGATTTTACTAACACTCACCTTCAGGAAACAATATTATGTGTTAATTATCAGTTCTCATATGAACTCAGTCACCTGCTCACCCTTGATCTACCTATAATCGTACATAACGAATAGCGTATTGTATTATCTATCAAATTCCATCCAGGTTAATAGTGCCTAACTCGGTTCTAATTTTTTCCGGATAACATAATCCGTAAGGATAGGAAAGCAGATTCAGGTGTAGAACCACTGAAAAAAAGCCGTGTTTGTTAAAGGCTTTACCCAAACCGATTTTATGTTAAAACAATCCAGTACTGTAAATGTGTTTCCTACACTAGTGCCACTACGGTACGTATTTAATATAAAATGCAAAATGCAGCAAGGTAGCAAAATAGGAGTACTTATTACTTACTTAGGAAAACTAGCTTAAATTTTGTTGAAAAATTCAGCCACCGTTAGGTACTATTGGTTACCTATAATAGTAATGACGTATCTAGATATCATAATAATAGCTTTAGAAGTTACCATATCGCTTAATATTGACAAACACAAATCGTAAATTACCCTGACTAGTAAAGAAGAATGAGAAAAATAATGCCGTTCTAACTATGCTTTATACGTAGGACAGCCATCCGAACCTCTTGTTTTATTTCTCTATTTATTCAGATCCAAGAAGGCTTTGTCGAAGGTTCTCTTCGTGAACAATGTATTTCGTATACTCTGTTTTATATATCTATATTTAAAAGTTATGTTTGTGCAGTGATGCATGTTCGTTTTGTTTTAGAATCACATTTTTGAATTATTCAAATTTTTTAGTTACTTTTAATTAATGAAGACGAAGCTTAATAAATTTTTACTTAAAATCTACCATTATGAACTGTATAAATGTCATCGTAGAATAATGGGTTACTTGTCAAGATGTAGTGTATTGCTGTAAATCAAAATTCACTGATTAGGTTTCCCGATTCCTGAATACGCCATAAAATGGTGTCAAACAGTAAAGTGAGTGATGCACAGTCTGGTTATTCGATGACGACTCTATTGTTACGCTTCGATCACAGCACAAATTGATGAAAAAAGAATCAGCAATGATTTCAGCACAATATTCTATATAGACTAAAGTTCACATGATTTCGATTACCTTCATTTGTTAAAGACGGCCATATGTGGGCTAGCATATTACGCCACCGAATCTTTTAAACAAGTTATTTATCACGAGATTAAACATGGTAGCTGTTGAGAAACCGTTAAACGGCTGACCTCAGTGTGTAAACAACAACACTTGGTTTGCATCCACTACACGCCACAATGTCAGTATTGTACCTTATATGAATTAAACGTTCCTTAAGTTTTTCAACCCACTAAGCAACTATAAAAAACGCAATATAAACGCGGTTTCCATGGCACGCTTCTAACAAGTGAGTCCTGGTACGTTCTCAGGTAACCATACTGTTATATCTTGCGCGGTGTATGGTATTCTGGTTTTGGCAAAAGGGCCTCGACACTGACAGCACATCTATCCCGTACCTGACGGCTTTAGGTGATCTTTTAGGAGTGTCCCTTCTTACACTGTGCTTCTATTCATTGCGTATCATCGGAGACCCTAATGCTCTTCCAAATTTTCTAAGTTATGCTTCCGGTAGCGTCAACATAACTACTACAGCTTCCAACGACTCGGAAAAAATTATAGATTCCTTTATCCCGGCAACAACATTCAATTCTTTGTCGTAATACAAAATGTGATCATTATGCTCCAGCCTAAGCTATATGACCAATAATAAATACATAAAGTTAATAATATGAGTTTCAAAAAATTAATTCAAGAAGTTACTTCAAAAACTATTCTTTTGACATAAAAATGTACTAAAGATTAAAAAAAATATATAAAAATTATATACAAAAAAAACCTATATATTTAAAGTAGAAGAATCTTATTTTCATTAGTATGGCTATCTATATATAAAAGTGTCCTTTTTTTTGCCAACATTTTATGTCAGTAAATGGATGAGCTCCCAATAAAGATTATGATAAAATATCAACGAGGACTACTATTGGAAGAGATCTTGTGTAGCCTGAAAGCAGTGACGTTTATACACGCATAGGTACCTATATTTATATAGCATTTGAGATGTACATATACTATGCACGAAAACATAGGTCTGGAAAATATAAGCACTACTTTCGTACTATTTTTTTCAATAAAGCATCTCCGACAAACTATCTTCTATTATGTAATTTTCGTTCGCATCAATCACTTATACAGTTTTTAGTCAGACAAACTTTTGCAAGAATTTCCATTATTATACCTACGGTGGGAGCAATACTGGGTGACTTGGTAAGCTATGTTACGCTACGTTATGATAACTGGTGAGAAGGGTTTCTTCTATAAGATACTTAAAATGTACAACAGCGTTTTTGTTTGTAGCTTCTACAGTACAGAGAAGATTTGCTGCGAAAGCAACGGAGCACCAGTTCCTAATCTGCAAAATATTATATGTGCTTATATTTTGTAGTACAAAGACAGTTGTGGAGAAAGACGCTACTCGAGACCAGCTAACATTTTTCATTTGCCGCACAATTACTACATCTCACAAGTAAATGCAAATGTTTTCTCGGCTGTCATAATGCAACTATTCAAGACATACAATGACTGGGCTTTTATGATAAACTATAGGAAAAGGTCTTGTTGGTACGAGTAAACAACAATTTTTGCTCTTATTCCGAGGTCACATCAGATTGCCCACTGAGAGGTTCCACTATTCTTGAGAGTGCATATTATGTATTGACTTATTGGAACTGGAATGTTATTAACTGTCTGTTATTGAATGTTATTAAGTATCTGGCACTGTCACCCGAAAATCTAACTAGATGATGCTAACGGACGTGCGTTTGCGAAAGGTTTAAGGAAAAGCAATCCATGATATTTAATGATGGGCAAAAAGTTGAGACTAGGCGATTTTTTAAGCGAATTCAAACTAACACCAACAACATTTCGTTGTTTATTACTATGTTAAGTTATGGGGCACATCAGCCTTGTCAAGGTCATCGGTTCATTTGTTATTTGTTTTTAAGCCGGCATCCTAATAAAAGAATCGCTCATCTTTGCCATCTATTAGCAGTGTAAATCGGATTTCCTTTTTATTATTAATTAAGTATATACGAATTATAAGATTTGTGTTATTATGAATTAAAAGAATTTCGTTCCGTATATGTATTTATGGAATATCTGACACGGAAAAATAAGTGCTAAAGCCTCGTTTCCAATTGGGGATTAGTTTTGTTCCAATTTCTTTAAGAATAGACCAAATATCATGCCGTATTACTTTCTGATCCATCAGGGTGTTCCCGTAATGGTTACGTGTTTGACTTTTCTTATACGCGCTGATATAATGGGACCGATATAGGTTTTTTGTGTTTTCCTTTAAGAGGGCTTCGCTAATGCTGCTTATGCACAACTGATCCCAACAGAGCCGTATCTATCCAGTGACCGTGGAATTTATATATAACAATTCTATTCCGCTAAAACGCAATCAGGAGTTCACTGGTCTGCGTTGCAAGAGACCTGGAGAAAACATTGTGTGGTTTAGACCGAACAGTTGTTCAACATTGCTTGTAAACTTGTGTGGTAAATAAAGTTAACGAGATTTATCAAAGTTTGCTTTATAAAGTTGTTCAGGTATACTGTGTATACAGTACAGGTATACTATATATAAGAACTATTGTGGTTCGAAGTCCCTGAATTGCCAACGTGCAGCGAAAGGCACCTTCAGTTGCGCTCTTAAAGTTTCCAAACAGCATAACGAGACCATCTTCATACTTTTAAGGTTATAAAGCAGCAGAAAAAATACTTTAGGATTATACATTTATGTTACCCTTGATAGCAGTGACAGCCATTGTAACTAGGCACTTTTGTTATTAGGTAACTTGAAACAGATCAGCCCTCATTCGTAGTGAATGGATCATTGTTATTAAGCAGCAAATCAGACTGTAGAACTTTTTTCTAGGTCCCGCTGACCATACAAACCTTGCCTTTCTAATGGATCTTCGTAGTAACGCTGAACTTCAAGTTATTATTCTAGGTAGTTCTTTTAGTACGCAGACATTTGTATATAGCGGCATGTTTAATATATTAAGTTGTTACATGCAAGTTTGGCAAACTTCCAAATCGAATAACTCTTAAAAGCTAGAATGATGATTTTTTACAACGTATAACAAATGCTCTCCTTTATTTTTTACACACATAGCTTGGCGCTGTGCCAGTCTCTGGATTGCCATATGCTTATCATTCGTTTTTTCTTATGTAATTTCTCTATTTATGACCTTTAGAAATAGCTTAATAGTGGGATGCGCTTGTCCTTCAACTGCTTCAATTAGGACACGGAAAGCCCAGTGATCACACGGATTTAAGTCAGCAAAGTGAGGGGGTTGAAGGCAACGTTGGATATTTCTTGGCTCAGTCTGGGAAGCAATTGAGCTGTCATCAAATAGCGTGCCTACACTTCATGAACAACCTGAGATAGTGGCCATAGCATTCTCTGTTTTATTTTTGACGAAAATGTCACAGTAACATTCACTCCTAATGTCCACTGTAAGTACTACCATCACCTTACGTTCGGATCTATTCGGCTTTTCCACTGAACTTGATTCCTACTCAGGAAAACGCCATCCTGTCTGATCTTTCTACCGCTAGCGGCAGAGACATGATTTACTCCAGGCTGGTTTTTTATCGATTGAACGTCCGTGAATCTGATTGCGGCAATACGTTTTTATTCTTCTGGTTTCAACATTTCGTCACCTTCTCGCTGGTCTTCAACCCGCCAGTCTCTGTTCTTCAGACGTTTGCGCCATTCACGTAGTGCGCTTTTGCTTAGAGCCCCCTTATCTATTACGTTCACCAATCCTAAAATGAATTTCCGAGGAACAAAAACTTGATCAATCAGCGTTGATTTTCAAAACTAAAGAATATTTTTCCTTCTGAACTAATTTCTCGTCAAGTAAATTCAACCGATTTCAACGCGTAAGTTTCTAAAAAACTCGGGTATTTTCCGGTCAACACTCGTTTGCTGGCGGCACGCGGTTCAACACTCTAAATTTCAAGGTCGCTTGTGACATCCTAATAGTTTCGAATTTCTTGGATGGTATATATATATATATATATATAATTTAATTTAATTATAATATAATAATATATAAACACAAGTAAAAGAAATAAAAATAAGAAACATTTGTTGCTTCATCCACAACCTCCAATAAAAAACAGTTACATTTATGAAGACTTCTTTGAGTATATACTGTTACAGTTCCCTCAACAGCAGCTTGATACTATGCTTCTAAAAAAGGTAAACAAATTTGTAATAACCTAATATCACCCTGTATTATTTTATATCACTGTGATATGGTATTATAGGAATGTTTTCGTTTTTTTCCAGAAGCGGTCCTGATTTATGAGGATTCTTTGTTGTCCAGATTTAACTTCAACTTTATAATTTGGATTAAAATATTTCCTCGTATTCGTGTTTAAAATTATGCATCGACTATTTTCCGATATTTCTAATTTAGTATCGTATTAACCTTGCGCTACTTGTACCTTGCCATCCAGGTCTTTTGGGATACTTTATCGTTGCCCAGCGACTTCTTTTATTCAGCAGTCGTTTAGTTTCGGTTTAGTAGTCGGTGAGGCGCTATGTTTAACAACATAGTTTTTAGCGTGATTATACTGTTCTATCGAGAACTGATTAGAAAATGGCCTGAGAAATGCATATAAAGAGTATTTACATATTGGCCGCGCGCAGGAAGTGCTTATAAATTTAAGCGGTATTTACATCCCAATCTATTTCAAGCGGTTCTACTAATTACAGTTATATCTGATCCAGTACTTTTACTTTGCATATTTACTGTTGTATATAACCATACAGGTGTTTTATAATTAGCGTTTACAGCATTTGTTATACTTAGATTTTGTTTACTAAGCAATATCAAATTTCTACAAATTTTAATACTAGTAACTAACTGCCCTGATAGTGTGGTCAAATGAGTTCAATGACTTGAACTCACTTTTCTCTATGTACGTATTTAATACAGTTATATTATTCGGTTCTTGAAATTATTCATAAATATTTATGAAGCAATGTTTTCTTTTAAAATTCTCATTTTTGAAAACGTAGTTTTTTGGCGTGATCTATTTAGAAGTACCTATCGTGTTTTTTCCATCCATATTAGGGCATTCTGCGCATGGAATCCTGCATATCTTTATATTATAGTTTTCAGTAATTTCTTTCTGACTCAACGTCGTTGATCGCTGAATCGACTAATTGCATGAATTGTTTTGGATGAGTGTGTAATCTAGTATCTAACCTTTTCGTCTAAGTACTTCAGAGTTACTTATTTTGTAAGCTTATATTAAGCCAGGCTTATAAAAACATTTGTATCCTTCTTCAGCCGTCTAATGAAAACAGTTGTTGACTTGACGCGGATATTTATCAAATGTAAAGTTTACATTTAACATTACATTACTCGCTTTAAACAACATGTACGTTCTCGAAGTAACTGATCATGAGCTATGACCAAAAAGGGAGTTCATCATATGGCCGCGACGTGCGTGTTTAGACTATTGTAGTAGTAAATGGGAACTGTCTTGTTCCAAACACGCCTTGTCCAGTTTGTGAGTCATGAAAGTTTTTTTTGTTTTCGCTGTATGATGTTACACTTTTTTTTGGCAAGGACGCCCTCATATTCAACCGACGGATTTTTGAACACCTGCAGAATCATAAAAGAATGCCAGGATAGTTCTATGAAGTCTTTTTGTTTTTCTGTTGTTCGGCTAGATATAGATAGAATATACGAACTTGTTTTTCGCTGAAACATGGAAATCCACGACAAGCTTGAGCAAGCCTGGCTTTACACAATCAACTGCGACAAGTTTATTAATAGTGAGGTGGACCTATACTAATCATCTATACGATACACAAAAAACTTTCAGATTAAAGAGGACTAGCATTTTAAGCGTTTTGTGGCTGGTTACCGTCAAAGGCTTCTGCGTCCTCTCAGAGATGAACTCGCCGAGAGCATGTTTCCGTGCGTTAGCGTAATTTCTAAATAAGTAAAAAAATTAGTTTAGTGGAATTCGCTTTCATTAACCCGAAGCGAGTATGCCATAACCAGCGGGCCTTCCTGACAGAACTCATCGCCGCGGTCATCTGCAACATCAACCTCAAGCCTCAGGTTAGTGACATAGCGCCTAACGATAATTAGGATTTACTGGAGATGATGTCTGCTAGTTCTATAAATAAGATCGTCTATATATAGGGAAATATTTACTAGAAAATTACGCCTTCTAATCTTACTAAGCAGCTCGCTGATTAGACGTGAACAAAGGTTGTTACATAGGGTAACATATGTGTTTGTTCGAAAAAATTAGGTTCCCTCACACCATATCAATGGTCATTTCATTTAGCTGCAGCTTCGTTTTGCTTTCGAAAAGGTCCAACTTATTTTAAGGCAGTTCCGCCTGGGCTAGAGCTAAAGAAGCGGAGCTTCGGTCGTGGTCATAGCGGATGCACATCGGAAGCCGGCATGTGCTGCATGTATGAATATTTCGCATCAGTGCAAGCTGGTTTTCTCCCATGAAGGTTTTAATGCCTGACTCTCAATTATATAATAGATATGTACAAAAGATCAATATTAAATACGCTCAGGTGCTGACACAGCAGATTGCGCCTTTAACAGAGTTGAAATGAAAATTCAGAGCGGAAAATTGATCTATAGTATGTTTATTTTGGTAACCGCTTACTGTGAAATGAGATATGGGGGTACATGACTCAATACAGAGCCTTTAAGCACATAATACAACATTCGTTTAAGTTGAGAGTGCTAGACGTAGTCTACCTAGTCCTGTCATTTTGGATACAATGTGCTAAACAGCCAAATCAACGTTCTGATCAAAACCCATTGTCAAATAAATGTTCTGCGGCGGTTATGATTCTTCATGATAATAGCATATCATTATTCTAGCAATTTAACACCGTCATTAGAAATTATCATGCTTACAGAATAAAAACCTCAGCCAAGACCAATGCTTTATTTTTATGAGAAACATACGTTTCGGGTAAACTGTTTAAAAAAGATCGGTCGAAAATAATTTATTGGAAAAAAAGCATTGTCGGCTTCCAAATGTTTATTTTAACTCTCTACTATTTGTCTCCTGTAAATATGCTGTTCCGTACGCAGTGTTTTACTTCGAGTTTACACTACAAAGGTGGATATTCTCGGCTAAAAGAACGTCACCTGCTCTATTTTGCGTTTCGCCAAGTTCGAAAAGCTGTTAAGGCAGCCCAACGTTCTATGCCGTCCGTGTACGGTGTGGAAGTCAAGGGTGCCTTATAGAATTCAATAATGACGTCTTAAGGAGTCTGAGCTGAAATCCGCATCATTGCATGTTAGGTATTGAAATCCCAACCTTGACTATAACCTAGACAAAAAAAAGTTAGCCAAACGAAGTCTATTACGATAGATGTAAATGTATGAACCCACTGCCATTTCTGAAGCACAGCGCCCGCAACCGAAGTTTTAGTCACTGCCACGAAAAGTTAACTGGCTAATAAGAACGTTTGTTCGTAAATATCCTAAGCTGCATATATAATTGTATTCGGCATGTGTCGAGCTTTGTATAGTAACCCTTTCTGGTAGGTTACTATTGACGGCTATGGTGGATCTTTAAAATAGCGATAAAAAATTATACGTTTTTCGGAGGAAATCTTCCCTCATCAAGGCTTGAGTCATTTATTGTTTACTATTAGCCCTGGAGAGGACCTTAACGACACGGCCACACTTACAGAAGATCAGACACACGTAAACAGCCTATCCGTAAAGTCCATTTAACCGACATAATGTGTTGGTGAAAATGGTCCTCGGGCTCAACCGCCAGGTTCATTAATAGATAGGAGGAAAATTTTTATTGTTAATTCGAAAAAAAATATACAATAAAAATCGTTGTTTTTGCACTAGTTTACCTTGTTGACTAAATGTTGACAAAAAAAACTTTAGTTCATCCAGCAGCTAATCGATGTTGTTTATTTCACTGAAATGAAAACAATTTCCCATGCAGTAACGATCATAAGCTTTAGATTCAACGTAGTTTTCATAGGATCTTTTTCAGTTTATTTTTTTCTATCTAAACCATGTATCAACCAACCTATAGAAATTCAGCAGGACGACATGTAAACGCATTTTTGCAGAACCCTGATAATTTACTGATAATAATAGCAAATCAATTTTATACATGTAATTGACAAATTTGAAAAAGTAATTAATTGTCTTCTATCAAGCGTTTGTTGTATCGGACTTTAAATATGAAATGGCTGTAAACTTGTAATAAGATGTTCTATAGTTGTTATTATCATATATATAATCCTTCACATATAGCAATTTCATCAGAGATCAATGAAAGACACTTGAAAATAACAAACATGTAATCTTATAAATTATGTTTATTATAAAGCATTGTACAATACATTGGCACTTAATCGCTTTGAGACATTTTCATGTTTCGTGTTCGCTTTGCGTTCTAAGTTCGCTAGTCGAGATCAGGAATCAAGAGAAGAAAAATCATTTGGATTTTCTGTTACGAGATTTAGGCAATTTTTGATTCGACTTACGTTTATTTTACTTTGTCTCTTTGTTTTTTCACCCGATTCCATGTACCAGACAAATATGCCTGCAAGCTTTGATGGTATATCCATTTATCATGAAATCGTAAATTGTTCGTTAATTATGCCCGCATAGAATACGTCTGTTATCGATTTTTTCAATTGTTAATCGATGTACCACTTTTATCAAGCGTATATAAATGCCTCCATTACTCCCACATAACCTGTATATGTTCGGAAGCAGTACATAAACGCTATTTATATATATATATATATTAGAGCGGTTATTAATAAACGCTTGATGTAACCTTTAAACCAATATCGTCGTATCCAGTTATTACTAACGGTGATCAGGAACTTCTAATTGACAACTTTCTATGAAGAGTACTTTACCTGCCAATTTCAACGGTAACAAGTAAACACTAAACTAAAATTTGGCTATCGAGATTCAATTAACGATATGAGCTCTAAGTAGTATAGAGCGTCTAATTTCTGATGGATTTTTTTTTTAGAAGCAGTTAGCATGCGCAAAAATCTAGCAGCACATGCGTGTTGGATAAAAATTAGAACATTATTCATTATTCGGATTGTATAGATCGACTACACTGACGATACTTAACAGTTTTATTTTCCTGAACTTGAACCAATGATGACTTCCTTTAACCGAATCACATACTTTTTGAAATAAAGCGGATACTTCCCAGATCAAAATGGGCACCTCGAAAAATACGTTTGAAATATTTTTGCAGAGAAATATTGTAAAGGCATACTTGCTTACTCGGTAGAATTTCTCATTATGTAACATAATAAATACTCATTTCGCCTTGAAAACTATTCGATTAAGATTTGATTGAGAAATGTCTGACTTGGTTTTTAGAATAAAAGTAGCTTAAGAAATAACTTGATCTATAAGGGGAGAGGCAAGTTCTTGCCTTATTTTTAACTTGTTTAGCTCAGTTTGTTTTAGCAGTAGTAGTTATTTATATTAATATTATTAATGGTAGTATTCTTGAATAAATAAACAACAGTAAATAAAATTGTATAAGAGTGCGATGAAAAAGTTTTCCATGTCTTGTTCTTTCCCCACCTCCAAAACGAATGTAAAATGCATTGGTCTTGCATCTCTCATAGCATTGAATTTACGCAGAAATACAATGCTCAACTTTACAGTCTTCGAATATTACTGTTACCTTCAATAATAACTTGTCACTAATACCGGTCCATTTAAAAATAAAAAAATATTTACTATTAATGTTACGTTATCAACAGTTTCAATATATACAGGCCACCATGTGGTATGGTATGTGTTAGCAATGGGTGAGTCTCTGCATCTAACCTTTCCTCTAGGCCAAAAAACTGCCTATGTCTCCTAAAATATGCTTTGTCTATTTAACTTTTCCTTGATTTTGTGGTTATATCAAAAGTGAATCAAACTTTTTGTACTCATAGGTTATGTCCTCCCCAGGCTTCAAATTATAGGTTGAAAACGCGATATTTCAACTACTACACTATATAACAACCTAAAATGGCATTATAACAGTTAAATGGCAGAAAAGAATACGTAGATCGCAAATAGCCTAATAGTAGGTAGCCGTTCTGACATCGCCTATAGAGGCAGTGCATAATTGGCAACTAAGTGAACGCGGCGATGATAACGACCAGGAATGACGCTTTCATTTGATTATTATCCGTATTCTAACGTTCAGTTCTCTGCTACCTTTGGCTGCTTCTTTACCTCCTCTAGCGTGAAGTGGCGTTTATGTCAAGCGACCTATCAACCAGCGATTCGTCTTCTATGTGGATTTTTTGCACACTACTCGCGCCCACATCTCGGTTGTAATTCTTTACCATAAATTTCGCTAACTACCTGTCATGTACAAGGACATTGTGCATGCTCTTTGTATATATATATATATATATATATATATATATATATATATATATATATCGTATGAAACACATATTGTGTGCTTGCTATATAGGCTTAATAGATTGGCCTTTTAGGACCTAGTAACGATGTTCATCTCTAGGCACGGTCTCGACAGTATGATATCCATTCTTAGTTCCTCGCTCATCAATCGGTTCACCGGGACGTCTTCGCCGGAAAAAGCCCGCCTATAACAGTTGAGCCAAAGAAAGTAAAGCTGAAGACGTTACTACTTAAAACAGACATGCAATAATTATTTGCTGCTGTTAGTAATGACCAAATTTAACGACGCTACGTTTATGTTTTACGTATTATCCGTATACACTAGCTGGACATCTGCAGTTAAGTAAAATAGCTTCATAATTTCAGTAGGATTAGAAAAGAGGTGTACCCAGTTTGAAAAACAATCATAAGTATTCATTACTGTATCGGCTTTATGGAGATTCTCTCTTAGTATATCAATCCACCAGTTGCCAAAATCCTGCTCTCAATATCGTACTGATGATCTGCAAATTCGATCCTGGAAGAAAGATCTTGGTAAATCCTTGACATATTTCGCATTAGCTAGCAACAGGATCTAATGTATGGAAGTTTACAGCCGCGTGCCAATATTACATTAGCCGTACTTGTCAGTGGAAAACTTTCTGTTTGGCTTTGATGTTTTACTATTATTTGTGGCTGTTAAGCTCTGGGGTTTAACGAAGCTGGTCCTGAGCAAGTTATTTCATAGCACCCATTTTATCTTATGTGGGCAAGTGTTGGCAAGGGTAAAGTGTATGTCAAATAGTAGATAATATCGGTTACAGCGTTAGCGTAAGATAATTTCCCACTATTTTCTGGTGTCTGCCTCTAGAGCTAAATTCCGCGGAATTTTTTTAGCGGACCGTTGGCCACAAAGTGGTACGATTACGTAGCATAATCAAAAGCTTTTTATATTTTGCAGAGTTCGATTTTACGGTCCGTGTGCGCGTCTCACAGACTTCAAACCTTTCGCACAGTCAGTTGTAAAGATGCTAACAGTATGGTTGATCGTGATAGAAATGATTTTTGTTAAAATTCCTGGGTGATTTAAGCTACCGAATTTTGAACCGCTTACTCCAAATAAAAATTCGCTTCAGTTTAAAAGATGACGAATACACTAGGGAATTACTTCCATATTGAATAATTTCATGAGTTTCATAAAGGATCCTACCGCAAAAGCTTTAAACAAAGAGGATGTAAATAATGGTAAAGCCAGAAAATGATCCAAAGCAGAGGTCTCGACGGCATGTCGTAATTCGGTTTTTGTTATTAATAAGAACAAACAACTTTTATGAGGAGTTCATCATTTGCATTTTGCTATTTTAGTTTAAAAATGTCTGTGACGCTCAGGTTCAACTTAGGTTAGATAAAAGTCGAGTTTTTGATATTCATATAAAATAAAGCCCTGTGTATAAGACGACTGCCTACTCCGAGATGAGCCGGTGCAGCACGGTTATGTACCTATGATTTGTGTTGATTAATCACATACGTTATGGTGCATTTCGTCGTTTGGGAAAAATCCTCCGAAGCGCATACCTTATATAAGCACCAAACAAGCAGTGCAAGTAGCAGGATGCCGATGATTATCGCAAGGACAATGATCCACCAGGGAATGCCTGGAGCCACCAATAAATCCTCTGCTACAGCGGTCGTTTGCACGTAGAATAGTTCATGCGGCAGTTCCGATTGCACGTCGAAGCGTAGCTTGATCGGTTTCACCACAATCTTTGAGGCAATGCTCACTTGGTCCACTCGCATTTTGGCTACTGTCTGTAGCCAAAGCCGCGAATTCACGGTTACGATGACAACGTCCGACGAGGTAAAATTTCGTACCTTCATGCCAGAATGAAAACATGGACAACTCATTAATAATTTTATTAACAAAAAGTTAGAGAGAACTGACGCTACACTTCCTTCCGTCTGTTATATTTACGCCATTGAAATTATAAACAAAGAAAAGCTTTCAGTTTAATTGAGTACCAATTTATTCTCTTATCAGAAATTCACTTCAGGGATACAGCAAGATGTGTCGCTTTATCAACGACCTCTTCAGTTAACCTTGACACGGTTTAGTAGGGATATGGGTGGCCAGACATCGTGGAGAGTACATACTTGACAGCGAAATTGTCCACACTTCGAGGGTTGACCACAGCTGATGTCATCAAGAAAACGGCTAATATCTCGAGGAGTTCGCCGTTGACTTTCGGTAACGAGAACTAAAACGGAATATTTTAAAAATGCGCCAAAAAATAATGTTCAACAAAAACCAAATACAGTAATTAGCACGTCATACGAACCAAACCCATTGTTATTGAATCAGTTCACAATAAATAAAGTAACAGCTATATTCCTATATTTACAGTAGCTCGTACTATTATATTTTTTACGTGGCAACTAACATATTTGTCAGGCACATCATTGACTCAAGATTATACTACCCACCTTTATTGGCGTTGAAGTTAATATGATCTGTGGATTCGCAAGAAATTAAAGCCGGTCTAGATGCTTTAAACTGAGGCCGTTCGAGAAGATACAATAGAGGCTCATTATCCGGATTGTGCGTTGGCCAAACTAAATAGATATCGGCTAAATCAAGGTCATGGCCTCTGTTTGTGATCTGGTAGACATGTTGAATTTCGGGGCCCACTTCAAGGTCTGTTAGCACTTTTCGTGAGGTATCCACAGACGATGCGTTATAGAATGCCTCCACGGGATCAGATTTACTGAATGTATCAAAAACAGGTCAGCAAATCATGTAAATAAAGTAAGCGAATGGTTCTGCAATTGTAACAGACTTGGTCTTGTCTTTAAGGGTATCTTAAGTTTAGGCAGCTAATAGATCATTTGTAATAGACTTGAACGAAGAGATACGGCATTTTCACAAAGTGAGATAGCCAATTTGCTTTCTTTGCCCTATTTAAAATAAATGAGTAAAAAAACTATTGATTTCCGCGAACTGACATTGCAAAGTTTTTATATATTTGCATTTTGACGGGAATCAATATACAACCTCTTTTTATAATATAGAATGCGAAATTAGAAGATCTACATACACTACTAGTATTTTTCAAAAAGATTTTCTCGGATCCTACTCCTATATATGTGTATGACTAAACAACCTATTTTTGATCCTACCTCGCTTGTCCGATCTAACGCTCGGCTGGGTCGGCAGTATATCTATTAAAAAGAAGGAGTTTTTCTTATGAATAGAAACAAGCCACAAATTGTGAGGATGAAAGAAGGAGGTATCAATGCTTGTTCAGTTGTTACTTTAATGTGACTCACCCGGAGATGACGACATTAATCTTGACCTTAACTGGCAAAGTAAATGTGATGACGTTGTCAGCTTTCGTATTCCCCTGTTCATCGTTTGTCGAGTTGAGAGCCGCCGAAAACTCGAACGATGTTACCGAGGGCACATGTTTATTTGCAGCAAAAATCATCCGGAAGTTAAGCTGCACTCAACATAAAATCAAGACAAAAACGTGCTTGTACAGCCAGATACGAAATATATACGTATATATGAGACTAATTTTTACACTTCCCAGAAAATATATATATTTATACTTTGATGACAATTCTAAAAAATGTGTCTCACACAAACAGAATCATTTCGTTTAACAACTCATAGGGGCTATCCTTAATAGAATTTTTTTTTTATACTCTACATTTCCCATCTTAAGTGACTATTTTTGAAGCGAGATGGTGCTTTCGGCACTAGGCTGTATATATTTTTCGGTATTTAGCTTACACCAACAATGAATGAATATTGACAAAAGAGTTTCACACAACTTTCTTTAACGTATACAAAAATGATGCGACCTATATGTTTGGTGTACTCACGCTATCGCCAGCCTTTAGCGGGTTGTCAAGGTCACATAGGACATGCTGATAGAATGCCGATACGCGTTTAGCTCCTGAACACGTAACTGGATCTTGGCGATTATCCTTGTCAACTTTGACAAAGTCCAAGTCATTGTGGAACGTAAACAACATTTTGGTATTGTAAGCGTCCTCACCAGCGTTTGAAGCCGAAATTTCGACTGCAAACTGGCGCGTACTCCCAACTTCGAACTCCGTGATATTCCTATATTCAGAACAGAGTAGCGATTAGTGTGTACCTGTTCTAGAAGCTAACGTTAAAGCTAATGTGCAAGTAGAATAATTATCGGACCAATGTTGCAATTCCAGACAACCTGTAGACGATGGTTATTTTTTAATATTTTAGTTTCAATACTGCAAGCGATATATACAAATAATATGTCTTAATTGACATGCTGCCCATAATAGACGTTTGTAAGATACATGGGAATGGAACTTTTGAGGCGTAAGTTAGCACGATTTGTGGGTAATAATCAGATTTTATTGTCTAAAGTGAGTATATATTCTGTAAAATAGACACACTGCGTATCGTCTATTTTGAAGGTTGCCAGTGATAATGCTGGTTCCAGTAATCCCGAGAAGAACTTTTATATTCTAATGCGGAAAATCCACTATAAGAATTTCAATTAAAGAGTTTAAAGAATCTTGGAAAGTTTGCAGGAATTTGCTTGTTTAGGGTTCTGGGACGTTTGTGCGCAAACTCGTAACTATTCTAGCCAAGCTGTCGCTTTTTTTTTTATCTCATCTGCTCTAAGACTCTGGCGTTCTGTCCTTTCAAATGTAAGTCCACCAAACTTTATTGTATTCGAGCAAGACCCCTAAAACTTAAGAAGTGTTAACGCATCAGTTACGTTATCTCCTTTCACTATTTAAAAATCTTACGTGAATCTAAAGCACAAGGACTTCGAGAAGATTAGGGGTAAGAAATAGAAAATACTTTCGAAGCGAATAAAAGCTGCAACCGTTTGTACGAATACAACAGTTTCTCAGAGATGTCTCCACCAAACATTACGAACAAACTTACTTCATTGCAATTTTTAATCATAAAACCGATATTCATGAAGAATAACATTGTTTTCTAAATTTGGTTCGTATACTTCGTGTATTTTTTAACTTTACTTTTATATCTAACGTTTTAGTCAAGAGTATATTTTGTAAAAGGTTTATATTCGTGAAGTTTAAAGCGTAAATACTTGTATTTCCAAGGCAAGATTTCGGTTACAATCAATATGACCAATAAACATACGGAGCCATGGAGAGTCGAAGGTCAGGTATGCAAACATCGTCCGCGCCACAGTTCTTTTTTATAATGACGGTCGCTTCCAATGGCTGAGTTGTAGACAGAACGGGGGTCAGCTCCGCTGTGTAATCCTGAAACTAGATACAATAATAAATAAGACAATATTCTTTAGCAGGTACATATATATATAATAGTAATAAGAACTGAAAAACTTTTGACCGAGTAGGACTAGAATAATGAATTCTTAATATGTGTTAGAGGTATTCTCCCTTATTTCTTACACATTCGACCAAGCTTCTACACAGCCATATACGTACCATTCGCGTCCTTATATGTAATTTCCGTAGTTATGGCTTTACGAAGTGAATCAATAGTGGGATATGTTTGCTTATTAGTTGCCCTTTTTAGGACATGGAAAGCGCCGTAACGACGCGCATCTAGATCGGGAGAATAAATGAGTTAAAGTCAATGCCGGACATGCCTTTGCTCAATTCAGAAAATCATTAAATCATATTACCATTAAATAATCAGACTGCGTGCTTTCGACTGCCATACACACAGTTTATATGTCATCGGAGAAATTCTAGATAGCGGGCTGCATTGATTGTTTCAATTTCCTGTGAGTACCTTATTGTAGCAGATGCCCTTAATGCCCATTACAACGGCTACCCCCATGTTACGCCCGAACCTATTTGACACTGCTACTCCATTCAATTTCTCTCCAAAATAAAGTCGTTCTTTTGCTTAGTCCCTCTTAGACTGGAAGTAAAAATTGAACAGTGCCTTGTCTACGCATGCCCTAGATGTTTTTTTTTGTTAATTAAGATTTCGCCCATCACATGTGAAACCATACGCATTTCTAGACAGCCTGAACTCAATTTACTAAAATCCATTTGTTATTCAAATATTCGTAATTACAATATTTAGGTTATAATTTTATAACACGTTGCATGTAAAATGCGTGTCTTGGCCGACAGGGCTTTCAGACTCCGAGCACTGCTTACGTGAAACGCCATTTCAATTGTGGTGATCCGTTTTTGTCCTTCCAATGCAGACATCCGATCACGTCGTCGGTCTTCACCACTTCAATCTAAGTTCACGAAAGGTTTGCATCGTTTACGTACATGGCTTTAACTTAAAGCCTTTTTTCCTAATGTCTTCATCTATCTTCGACGAATTTCCGCAGTGCTGCGGTCTACAAAGAACAAAAACGTTGATTTTCTAGACTAGGTTCTTCTTGAAGCTATTTCTCCTTTAGTAAACTTAGCGAGCTTCCACCTAGAAGTTTCTAAAAGATTAGGGTCAAACCCAGCCAATTCTTGCCCCCTAACCACGCGTAGTTCAAAAGCTATTTAATTTCAAAGTCCGACGTATTCGCTTGTAACAACCTAATATAAAATCGTTCAGTATAGTAAACGCTAAGCACATGTAAAAAAATAACGCTGTTTTATTTATTTATTTATTTTTTTGAATTCTGGATGTTTTTGCAACTTTTTTGTTAGAATTTGAAATTATTCTTTCGAATGTCACCACTCGGGCTCTTTGCGGGCGGGTGTCCGAGCTCTTAAAAATTATGAGATTTAATAGGTCTAGGATTATGGATACGAGTTCCATCTTGGGACTGCAACGGTAAGACAACCCGCTGTACAAACCTTGTATTCTGTGAGCGATTTATTACTAAAAGTAGTATAAGAAATCGTTGGTTCTTAAAATCCAGAGAAAGAAATTTTGAACTCGAAAGTGAGTTTTGTTGAACATTCCCGGCGAAAGCGAATGACGAAGTGTTGAAAGCGAACCCAAGATCTCAGAATGCACAGGTCTCTGCTTTGGTGCTTGTAAAAATAACATACCTTTGTTCACTTCGATCAAATGAATAACGTAAAAAGATGGGAGAAATGGGCGCTGTATCGTTTGAACGAGGATCAGAAAGGAACATGCGAGGATCGACAATAACGAAAAGTTGTGGAGATATTAGAATATAGAGAAGCAACGATGGCCTTTCTTTGCTCTCTCCCAAATCAGAGCATTGAGCGATTACTGCATTGAATTGCGACATATAATGAAAAACTAATCTTTTATGATAATTACAGATGGTTATATTAGTCGGTGGGTGGATGCAACTGAACGGACGGAATATCAGCCTGAATTGAATTCACAACCGCATCACAACCACAAAAGCTTATGGTGTCTTTTTCTGGTCTAATGCGAGTGTTGTCCACCACAGCCTCATGAATCTTAGTTCGTCGAATACGGGTGAGGTTACTGTTAACAGCTGATAAAATTAGTACACAAATGTAAACACTTCCTATTATGCAATAACGCATACCAAAAGGACTACGGTGGCAAAACTACCGGTGTCACACTCGTGTGCGCTTTAACATTCAGCATGCTGCTTAAATACTGCTCCTACAACTTACTGTTTTTTATAAAGTTCTGCCGACATAATAGGGGAGTTATTCAAACCTCAATAACATGTCGAAATCAGATTTCGAAACTCTACTCTTACTATCATTATAAATCGGCAAAAAACTGTTTATGGACCACGTTTTATGTTTACATATAGAATGATGTATAGACAAAACAACTATAAATGAGTTATTTAGCTAAACAAGGCGCACTATCCTTATTCCATATTCAATTTGTCCACTGACATGTCAGTGAAGAACACTGTCCACCTTATGTACTTCTGCTTACCGGATAGCTGTCGGGAGATGATGGCTGCACTAATGCGTAGGCTACGTTCACTCTAATTGGTGACAGTTTGTCAGCTGGATTACGCTGTAAAGTTAAGGTATTAAAATGGTAAAATGGCGTATCGAAACTTTTTATAGTTAATTGAGAAATATGAGAAGAAAGTAAATTAAGAACGATAAAGAACTTCGAAATTACTTACACACCTTTTTAGGCAAATTCGCACTCAAACTTCATAGCAATTAGCTGTAAATAAAAAGTCAATGAATACATCTTACTTTAATGAAGGCCTTTTTCTGGATACATTCATAGTTTCCCCTGCGTACGGTGACAGTTGAATTCAGCAAACGCTCTTGCGTATTTTCGAAGCTTAAGCGCGACGTCCTGCAACAAGAATACGATAATACTTTTTGCCATAACTAAATAAGGAAAAATGCGAGGCAACCGAAATTGTCTGATATTGCACAGCACAAACTAATCTTTACTTTGTTGCCAAAGATCCGTACAGTTCATATATAATGAGAATCAACACGTCTACAGACATAAGCATAGAGTGAGTGGGTGAAAACCACTCAGCTCTGTCTGCTACCAACGAACACCAACTAAAACAAGAGATCTGCAGGTTTATCCAATTCGAAACACTCACTTAAAGAAGGCAAGGTAAGCAACTTTTTGTAGGTCTGTAGAGTTTCGCACTGATTAGGTTGTGCGAAAATAGGGCCGACTGGGCAATTATTGTGCCTCTAGAGACGAAAGTTTTTTCTTTATAGGTTAATTTCGTTGGTCGTAAACCGAGGGTAACCTTCTCTCTTATTTCCCACGCTCTAAAAAGAACGCCATATTATCGTTTAAGAAGACCAAAGCTGTCTTCAGCATCGTCCGTGCTGATATATCATCAAATGTGCATATATTTTTGCAAACATCGTGTCGTGTGAGCGTCGCATGAATCCAATGTGTGTTAGATTGTAGAAGAAGCTATTAGGAGAGAAGTCACCAGTACTGGACGTCACTTCTGTTACTGGTAATATAATTAGTCCTTTACCTCTATACTGGTAAAATAAAATCTACTTGGTAACAAAAGAGGTATGGCACGAATTTTGCAGGTAGCAGGAATTCTCTCTACTACCAAAACTTTTAAAAAGCGGGTTTGTTCGACATGAAACTGTCCCTTATAATGAACATATATAGCACACTTCTTCTGGTCTGCTCAACGCATTTCTTGGAAAGGTTCGCATGAGCATTAACCAAGTACTTCTCCTTTTGAAGTTAATTTCAACGTGCTGCTTCTCATATTTGGCGCCCCGAAGAAACGTCACACCAGCGTTCATAAACGTCGAGGCGGCCGCCAGCATTTTCTGCCCTACGAAACTATGTAAAGTATAACAACTGCAACAGAGTAAATGTCTAATTATTAACTAAATCAGAAAAGTAGACTCACTTTAATGGCATAGCTGCAACGAGATAGAGTTAGTACTGTAATCTCAGATAAACTGCAGCCGGATAACTGTATTTTTGCCAGCGAACTATTGTTTATCGTTGGCAAGGTGAAGCGCCATTCAAATATTTCGTGCGTAATGATGTCTGTTTGACTACATAGTTCCTTTTTAGGTGTTTTAGGAATCCCTTATACATACAATTGAAAAAAAACTTCCTATTAAGTAGATTTTTATAAAATTCAAAAGAAAATAGCAACATGACAGTCAAATATTTACATAGAAAACTATGTAAAGGAAATATTATTTACTATCAGTTGATATGCCTCAACGAGTTGAGTAAGAATGCTATGCATATCCCTGTAGCTAAAATTGATATTCTCTTAAGGCTTCCAATGTAACACCTGCCTTCTCAACGAGATAAGAGGTTGAAAATCTGTTCAAAGGAGCAAGTTTCTATTGGAAACTTAAAAAGGTTGATATGGCGAATTCTATAGTGAAATGTTCGAAATGTTGTGAAATATCGAAAACATTTTTTCTAGTTACTACTTTGTTGGCATCGATTCTTCATATTAGTCGATAAATATCGACAAGTCGAGTAAAAATGCAGCGCATCATTACATATCTAAAAATGATATTTTACCATAAAAAGTGCCAGAAATTGATTATGATAGTTGTTTTACTTATGCGACACTCAAAGTTTTTTTTTTACGAAGAAGTCTATGTAGAGGGGCTCGTCTTAAATACTAATCGAAAGCCCTTTGTAAGCTGAAGTGAAATAATGCAGTACATGTTTATATACCTAATCAGTTTTTAGGCCGAAAATACTATTTAGGAATAAAAAATTGACGCGGTGTGTTAACAAAATGTTGGTGTTAAATTATAATTTATATTAAGCTGGGTGTAACATCAACAAATGGAATTAGTTAAATTAATAAACGTGACGCGTGTGCAAAGCGAAGCTCCGGGGTCCGTCAAGCTTGTACTCTATCTTACTGAATGTCTTGGACACACCAAAAACGCCCCACTGAAGTGGTCCAATTAGCTTGATCCCCTCTGGGTTCATACAGTTTCATGCTGTGAAGATCTGCACAGAGTGTGCGGTCTATGAAGGGATAGTTCTTCGAGAAAAAGTTCGTTTCCCCGTCCTACAAAGTGTAATGTTAATTTGGGCAAACCGACGATTTTTGATGATTCTTTTCCATAACCATTGAGGTTTTACAAAGGCGTTATACTAGAACTTCATTTATTTTTATTAAGCCCTACAAATAGTGCTTAATTTAAGAGAATATATTTGTTTTCCACATTTTTATGATTTAGTTGCAAAAAGGTGATTTCGCCAAAATGTTTCATGATTTTAGTTCATTATTTAGTACATACCTGCACTTTTCTAGAGAGCATTTTTTTTTACAGGAGAGCGTAACAGTAATTTAATTAATTTGCGAGATTGTTAATAAAAATTTAACTATCTCGGTATATATGACTCATATTCTTAAATTGGGAGAATTCATTTAATTCGGGAAATAGGATAAACACAACAGGGTACTGATGTTACAAGACTGTTCCAATTGGAGAGCGGGAACAAATGGAAACGTATAGGTGGTTTGGGGCCTTAGACTGGCGCCGCGCTCACGGCTGAGGATTAATTTCACGTGTGGTTTCACTTTGGCCATTTTCAAATCGAGTTCAGCTATTTTTTCAAACAGCAGGATGCATGCAATACATCAACAGATCGACTGCTATTATTAGGATATTTTAATAGGAAAACGGAATCATTCCGACAATATAAGCAATCATCACCGAAACAGAGTAACAGAACGACTGCATCAAACAACAAAGGTTTAAAGGACCCTGAGTGAAAAACTAACCAGATCAGAGAAATATAATCACTCTTACTAGAGAGTTGCAACAAATAACGGAACTAATACAAGTGGGTTTCAGAAGAACTGCAACCGGATGTTTAGATATGTCCAGAATTGAGATTATGCTAGGTTGGGTATGCCACGATTTAAATATTAGAACTAGCCAATGGGATGACTGCAATGTGGCAGCAGGACTATTCGAGTATTCCGTAGAACAAAATGACTAAATGTTTTGAGTTTTACGTCTGACACGGCCGAGAAGCCTTCGATTAGACGACTGGTTCCTAGTTCAAAATAAACCTCGTGTTCACGCTTGGATACGCTAGGAAGAGGGTTACTATACCGGGGTAAGTGCCACTAGTAGATTGACCTAATTACTGGAATGAAATAGCTGCAATGGTGTAGTGCTATATCTTAAGGGAATCACAACCGTAAAGGTGAAGGTCCACAAACAAACTACACTTTACGTTATCCCGGGTGTAATGCAAATCAAATTCGTTCATATTAGAACAGGCTGATGAGCCAACTGCAAGCAATTAGAGGGTTCGAAGGGCAGAGTAATTGTAGCAGGATAAATATCGATGTATACTGGTTTACGTTTAGACGTGGTGTAACATCTCAAACAAGTTCCTCAATTGCAGAACAGGGCGAAGTTCATGGAACATGTATGTAGGATAAAAGGCTTACTGTCATTTATTAAGCTTTTAACAGATAAATATGGCATTATTAAAATATGTATAGCTCATTCTAAGGATACGATTTATAGTGCGGATCAAATCTTATATATACTATAACTTTTATCGATAAAGATTGTTAATGTATAAACACCTCATATCTGCTTGTTCAAGATATAAAATAAGACAGATTTAAGATATTCGTATTTACGCTATGACCTGTACTGATTAGACGTTCCCTTTGCTTTATCATTTTGTTGATTTAGGCTTTAATACTATCAAAAGCAACAACAGTAATGAGCTGCATAATACCTGGCTTCCGTGTCCAGACTAAATTGGTATCCTATATTGATGGAATCCACATTGGAGGGCGCATCGAATCGAAAACAAAGCTCGAGATTTAAGCTGAAATCGTCAAACGTTATAACGAAACCATTGAATTATTGTGTATTTGTTTTATCTATCGATGCTGTTTTGAATTACATATAGAAGAAAATTAAAACAAAAATATAATGAACAAAGATATGATGACAAAAAAACTCGATTTACTCTTATATCGTCCTAAGCCCGCGAGACTTATATTCATCTTTCATGTAAGCAATACCAATTTTCAACCTGGTAGCACTTAAACGAATGCTCCCTCACCAAGGTAGCGTAGTTCCATCAGGTAAAAGGCATCCTTCGTCTTCTAAACGAATTGCATTGGCATCAATTTTGAACTGTGGTTTAATGTGAATTATTGGTCGACTGCGAAAATACAACGCCTTGTTACTTCCATAAGCGCCGACGAGTAGATCAGGATAGCCGTTCTTGTCGAGGTCTAAGCCGCCACTCAAAGAGAATCCGAACGTGCTAATCTGGCCGCTACGACTAAAATCCGCGGGGCCAAATATCTGAGAAGCTTTAGCAGAAATGCCACTCTTACCCCCGTGATAAATATACACTAAACCGCCATGGTCTCCGTACGGGGCTCCAACCGCGATATCTATTTCGAAGCAAAATTAAACTTTTTAACCTACAGCGACTTTACCACTGAAAATATATTAATTTAAAGGCAGTCGTCAGAAATAATGAGCCACGCACTATAAGTAACTGTCTATGGACTAAAATTACGTGGCTTTGATACATGTATTATCATTATGTGATATCATTTGATCGCATATACGTAACCCAAAGTTTCTGTGACAAGCTGCAATACTGGCTAGTACGTATACAATGTAATATAAAAATAAGAATAATATGTGATGCGGTCATGCTTTTCGCACTGCTACTTCGAATCAATATACGCAATTTCCAAATTATGCTTTCCTTATATCAACATACTGTGATTGCCAAAGTAAAATATCGAATGCTTTCGTCAGCCCACAAGTTAAGAACGCTTTTTGGCAGTATGCATAATAACATGCCAGCTATTATGTATTTAACGATTTTTTTGTATTGCATTACGCTGTTATACGCGTTACTCTATTTCATTAACCACAAAGAGCGTCGTGCGCGCGGCTTGAGTTTAGCGCTAGCACAAAGTATCACTTCGAAAATATTTTCCAACATTTTTTTAAGGTCAGAGTATTTCACTTATTATAACTCACTTACTATATGTCCCAGTGGTCTTTAGGACCTTATGGCGCGTTTTTCTTGTTTTTCTGCTACATGATGTATTGAACATACAAAATCAACATTGAACTACTATTTTTTTTTATTGAGGTCTGAGTTCCGTTGCAGGTCCTATATTTCAAACCTTTAAATCCATCCTTATTAATATCTCCAAGAGCAGCCACCGCGAAGCCAAAACGACCGTTAGGGACCTTGCCTTTCAAAGGTTCTCCTTCGTGGAATTCCAAGGGAGCTTCCTATAAAGTCAAGATCAACTAATGCTCAGTTCACTCAATTGGTGGTAAAAACAGGAATATCTAATAAAGACGTTTGTAATGCCTTTTTCTAAATTTTATAAAAACGCACACTTCGCTAATCTAAAACTACTAGCTAAAAAATAAATAAGTTTTTTTGCAAAATGCTTTGGCAGCACAAAATGCATTTGAACTTATAGTAATTAATACGCTATACAATAATACATATATTTGGTCTAGAATAAGCGTTTTTTTTCTGCTTAAGAGTTATTGGCGCACCGTTGCCAACAAGACCACTTACTTGATAATAGATATGCACACGTCCTTGTTCATGCTCATTGCGGACCTCGAAACTGCTAAAGAGAGGAGCCCCCACGATGATGTCGTCCAGGTTATCACCGTTAAGGTCGCTGACAGCAAGCGCTGATCCGAAGTATGAACCCAGCTGTCCGCCAATAAAAGTTGGTTCTAACTTCGCCAAACGATTCCCGCGCCTCTGGTACATTTCGACACTGCCATTATAGTCGGCCCCTTTAGGAATTCCTAGTAGGAACGCTGGCCTACTATCACCAGTGAACTCGCCTATTGCTGTGGCATAACCCATGAACTGGTCATCGAACCGTATTCCTTTCTTTGGGGTGTGCACAGGATCTTTAGGCTTCGCAATATCAAAAGCATAACCGGCGCCCTGCCACTGGTAAGCACCCACGGCGCCGAGAACGACTTGGCCAGATTTCTAAAAACGACCACAAAGCAGACGTGTTACTATAATTAGCGAATGATTAAGATAATAGTTTTATATGAACTAAAACCTTATCTAAATCACTCTAATATCATTAGTTTCCACTCCAGCTCCAACCAAAAAGTGAGGAAAAAACAAAAGTTAAATGATTAAACTTAAGCTGTTTAACACAGTAAATAAAATGCGGCATACCTTGTCAACGGCAGCGGAAAATCCTGCCTGACACGCTCCCAGTCGGGTGTGGTGTGGAGTTTTCCCTTCGCAAGGTGACAGACGTACCACGTGATTGAAATTACCATTGGCCAGAAAACAATTTCCGATTGGTAATCGATATACAGATGGATCGCCGGAGTAATAATGCTGGTACAAGATTGCGCATGCCTGTAAGAATTGCATTAGAGATATTTCACACAACAAGATTCACCGAAATACAAATCTCACTCACCATAAGAAGACAGCCTAAGACGCTCCGATATTGAATGTACTACTACGAACCGTATTTACTAAAATATATTAAGATATGTAGCAAAAAGTGCCCTTGCTCACTCTAATAACAAATTCTACGTGCGGGTTGATGACCAATCACTATTATGTTCACCCAGCAAAAATACGCATCATTTCTGGTTATGTGTCACTTGCGAATAGTTCGATAAGCTGCAGGTGTAGGCTGTTTGATTTCAACGAACCAAACTTACCAATTTTGCCAAATTTACCAACGAACCAATTTTGTAGGCTAAGAGATTAGGCAGATGAAAACTGAAATACCTGCACTCATTTATTTTTACATTTTTATAAATTTTACAGGCATGGTTATCACATCTTTAAGTCTCTCAAACCTAATATTAGCACTTACCTTGCTAAAATCAAAACAATAAAGAAAACCCGAGTCGCCGTCATAAGTAGCTACCGTACAAAGGAGTCGATTGATTCGACAGTAAATCATTTATCTCTCTCTAAATCATCGTTCGATATCACAAGTTTAGCCTATAGAGAGCATCTGTTTAGTCTACAGTTTAATCATATAGCAGAAAATTATAGTGCTTGACTTGCTGTGCCAACCAGTTGAATACCAGATCGACTATCAAAAGAACGCTGGCTTCCTATATAAAAGTTTAATCAAAGACAGTGACGCTCTAGAATCAGCAGCGAATCTCCGTAATGCAGAAAATTTAAGATACACCAGTTTTAGATCTCTGAATAATACTGGCCACGCAGTGGTTCATACAAAAAAAATCTTTGGTTGTAGAACGAAAGTTACGTACGGGACGGTTTAGTTCGATTAAGCGATACATATTTCTTTGAACCACAATTAATGAGAGAACTTGAATCAAGCAGTTGACCATAGCATGCAGGCCATACATACTTATTGAGGCAATATTAGGTGTATTTTACTTCCATTGTTCCATGAACTAATACGTATATGCACCAAGTGTGCATCTGTATCATCTATCAGTGATTGCCATGAATATATATCAACCGAAAACAAGGGAATTGCCTTCCTATCAATTTGTGGTGACGGCGCTGCTCGACACGCATGAAACGTGAAACTGTTTTTTTTTCAAAGAATCCATCTCCCGTGTGACTACTTGTTATAAATATATATATATACGGAATAATTCGATCTCGTGATTGGACTTTAAAGCTGTTGATAAAAGCATCAGTGTCCGGCTTCTCCTCATACTCGTACCGCTCCTCTCGGTTGTAGCCTGACCTACCATGATGATTCAGTCTATAGCCTGGACGATGACAAAGAGAAATAACCTACCCAGCATAAAAGGACCCATGCGGGTCTTTTGCGAGTCGACCCGCACATAGATGGCCTATCTGCTGGCAGCAGCCAGAGTCGTTCGGTAGGACAAGAACCGCTTTCTACTTCGAGCTGCGTGCCAACCACGTGGGTGCCGCACCTCTGCTTTCGCGTGAGCGCTTTGACAACATTACCATGGTGTTTTTTCTATTCGAACCGAGTCATGCCAACGAGAGCAGAACCCTGAGTACTGGCGTGATCGAACAGCAGCTGCTGCCGTTAGTGCAGGAGTACAGTCACCGTGACGATAATTGCCTCTGCTCAAAGTAAAGAAGAACAAATGGCTGAAGGAGAGAAAAAAGAGCAAATGCACCGCAAAACACAGCTGGGTGGTAGCGGAAAGGTGCTAGTAGACGATACATCTGCACAGATTAATGATATTTTTATAATAATTCTGCTATTTTAATTAATGAAGAGCTATTGTTTTAGTAATTCTGAATAAATTAAAACAGTAACTATGTTAATTTACTCTATTACGATAGCTGCCAAAGCCTTCTATATCATCAGAATAATTATTGGACTATGTCATCATCACTAAGTCGATATTTTCCCCTAGCGGTTCCACTAATATTCTTGATTCTATCGAAGCCACCGAAGCTCCACAAAAGCCTTAAGTTGTTTTCTTCTAGATCTCTAGCGAGTTCGACAATGTCTCTGCCTTGAGCGCCGTATGGTTTTAACTAAAAACGTGTGTAGCAATGACATATAACGTTTCCAATGTATCATAACGCTGTCCTGCGGTATCCATGGGGCTGTCACACACGCGCTACCCTTCGAACGGCTTTTGGTAGTAATCCCGTCTCGCCACCGAAACTACTTATCGCTTCGCTGGCCTTCGCTAGGGCTTACAATAACTCAAAACCAGGTAAGTTTGACGCTTCAACTTCAAAATCACTATTTAAGTCATGTCAGCTTTGTACGGAAGCATAAAGACAGTTGCAGTTCAGCTGATGATGTAGTTCGTGCATGGTTTAACTACTTGGACACACCCATTTTAAGGTTAGACATAATTTAAGCCAGGGGACTGTTGCTGCCTGGAAAAGATCCATGCGATAGAAAGGTTCGGATGCGACCGGAGAAAGGCTTGCAAGCACGCTTTTACAAACTAAGATGAAGCGATAGCGTCTAATTTAGTCAACGAAAAGCTTGCATGGCTCGTTTTGTCAACGACCTGATCCTAGCCGCTCTGTTTAGCAAATTCATCTTTTGAAAACAGTTCAGCTGACGGTCACGTCTTGCAAATCACTCGTCTTAATTGCCCTTCTCGATGCTTTGCGTTAGAGCAGTCGTGTGTGAAAGCTAAGGAAGCTGGAGAGGCAGATTTAGTAACCGCTGTATCTAAACCCATCGGGCTCGCTGAGTAAAGAGTTAAGAAGAGCCTAGTAAAGAGCTTTCAAGGATTGGCTGAATTCGATTGTGAGGGCCCGGTACGACTGGAGGTGGAAAAAACACTGGAAGGAGGACCTTTGAGAGTTTCTAAAGTCCTATTGCGTATCGTAGCAAATATTGTAGTAAGCTGGGTGCTTGATCGAGGCAGAAAAGCTGTTCTTTTTCTTTGGCCAAGACCGGACTTATCATTTCGGAGAAAAATGGTGTTTTTAGGAAGTCGAGCTCAGAACGGTCCCATTCGATAACGTCTGGTAGCAAATTTTCAAACTTTTCTGTGGTAGCACAGCTTTCCTTTGCGTTGAAGGGCCTGCGCCTCGGCGGGTTAAGCTGTATTCCACTTTGGCGCACAGATTCGCATTATCCTTAAACGTGATTAAAAATGATACCTCCTGGCAATTTAAGTCAATCAATCAGAGGGCCGTAGTCGAGACAAACGAGTAACCAATTCGATAAATGCGCAGGGCACTAAATACCACTATAATAGCTGTATTTCCCTATTGACTATCCGTTTAGAGAAACGAAATTTCTCCATTTTATCAAACATCAAAGGCGTTATTGGCTTGTGGCACACTTGAAACATTAAAGGATAGAGAGCCCCCGGGTAGTTGTGTTTAAAATGGAAAGTTTTTTCAAATCATGCTTTAAAAGGTAACATTTCTCATTGTAGCGTAGTACAACGAATACGCTTTGGACTAGAATTTCGATGCTTTAGACACATCACATGATTCTCCATTCTCCATTGGTGGGAAAAAGGCATTTCAGATGATTAAAAATTAGATTATCGAATCCCTCTGCTGCTCATAATGTGAAGGTCCTTTCGCGAGTAAGCGACTTCCTTACTTCGACCTAAACTCATTAAGCACATTTTAATCAGCGAAATCGGTTATGGCTGCTCCTGTTTAATCAACTATTCCGTTACGGCATTCTGTAGCGTTATTCCTTCAGCGCTGAAAACGTTCAGGCGGCTCATTGTTTATTGTGAGACTGTTCATTGACAGGGAGAACTTTTGGGGCAAAATCATAATAAGGGACCTTTAATAATTAATATACATATATATCATACGTTTGGTTTGTAAACGACACGAAAGTCTCAACCTTGTGGCTATTGTTAAGAAATCTCTTGTCCAGATAACCCCGGTCAACTCAGGCGGGGCTTATAAGTATTTTGTTTTGGAAACTGCACTCAGCATATGCCTAAGGTTGCTCCTTTCCAGATATCGTTTTTATTCTAACGCTTTTTCAATAATTGATTTAAATATAGCATTGTAGATTCTACGCTACATATCCGCTAAAGCTAAAAATAATAGTTATCCCTTCTATAGTAGCCCGTTGTTTAACTGACAAAAGTTAAACTTGCGGCATGTTTATACTGTCTTATTGGTTATGTACTGGTGAAAGATATGGCTATGTAAAAGAAGGCACTGAATCGTTGCGAAAAGACACTCAGTTTTTCATGAAACAAGTTATGCTATCAGATGAATTGCATAGTATAGTAGCTGAGATTTTCTTATCTATAGCATGGAAAAACCAAAATCTAATTGACAAAAGACGTTGTAACTTTACTTTAACAATAATGATACAACTACAGAAATGAAATTCATAGAAAGCCCTACGGATATTCCGCAATAAGAGCGCTGTGTTCTGCTTCCGAGCTGGACCACTGACGATGATGTTCTCTAGCAGAGTATGCGCGAAAACCAGTAACGAACTGTAATGTTTATGTTGTAGTCGTCTAGTTACTTTGTGGTTGCCCAGTCACAGTACGATTGAGAATTAGTAGCAGTAGTATGCAGCTTATCTAGCACTTGATTACCCTAGCTGGTTTGAGCTTCGTAAACTTCGATTGTTTGGGGTAGAACATCCTCCGGTCGCATCAGCAGCAGCCGGAGTCAATTGAGCTGAGATTTCTACTTTTCTATACAGTCGTCACAGCAGCAGCAACAACAGTTACCGAGGGGTACCATCTCCTCTCGCCAACAACGCCAGCGATTCATCGGGCTTTAATAACGCAAACACAGAGAGAAAAATAGAGTCGCACAAGAAGATGGAATCACATAGGCTTGATCCGAAACGGAAGGCAGAAGAGCCACAGGCAGTCGACTGTACCGGATCAATAGCGACGACGTAGTTGCTAGCACTGATCGGGAACGGCAGGCGGTAGTTAAGATTCTCGTCCTGTTTTAGTTGTTCAGGCAATGTACATATAGCTTGCTGCTTCTGAGCTCATCTGCCATTGAAACGCGATCGACCAGATGCCTTCATCAACACCCACCAGCCGTAACGTTGACGGATAAGCAGATACTGCTAACTAAATAACCGTGCTAGTTGCCTGCCTCGGTTTTGACAGGCCTGACTTTTAGTCTCCTGCATCCGATCATTATGGTCCTTAGCCATTATTGAAATGAGGTTCACAGAAATTGTCATCCTCACATTACCACCATTGCAACGGGGTAGGACGAGAACGAACGTCTCATTTAAATGCCTATAAGAGTTCTTTTGTGCATATATTCAAATTATGCCGACCGACTAATGCACATGCAGAAAACAGCAACATGATTTGGTAAAGTAGTTTCACCCATGCGTCCTGTTTAGTTTCAGAATTTTCCTTCATCGTGTATAATATACGTTTCGTACGGCGGTTTTCGAACAAATCAGTTGTTTTGGTCTCTTTTGGCTACAACGAATAGCTTATCACTACCCTATCAAGAGCAGGCCTTCACTGAAATGTTTCGCCTTTCAAGGCATATTCAGCGTTTTTATAAATAAGTGGCATCTTTATTACAGCAAGTGTATATTGTCACGTGCACACTCGATAACTTACTGCTGATGTTGTACTAAATACTGGTATATCTAAGACATCAAAAGTTGCCGACTAACGACACATGTCAGATCAGGTAAAATTTTACCAACAAAGCAACATATGTACGATATCATACCACAACTTTCCGATGCTGCAATAGAGGAGTAAGTGACTAAAACATTGATCTGACTACGCCGTTTCGGATTCAACTCCCAGATTATTAATAAGCTATTTTAGCTTTACGTCCCGAACAACACTGCCACACAGTCAAACGACAGACGTCTACTAGAACGAGAAAAACAGCATTTCTGATTCCATTTACATCCATTTAAATCCAGCAAGCAAACAGGACCGAAACAGGAGTCATATATTTAAGTGCTATGCTATGCTTTACAGCTAGGGCTCAGTAAATTGCTAGCTATTTTAGCTCATTACATCAGCTGTTCATTTTTAGAGGTCCTTACTGTTTTATTTTTGAGAGACCACTCGTGATCCCTGCAAATGTTTTCGTATAGGAAAAAATGCCGATATGTAGTTGTAGAGCTTCCACGACTAATCAGATGCAGTCTTAGAAGTTTACCTGTTCACAAATACGTTTATTATTACACAAGTGTTCTAAATTATTTTCTAGTTTTAGGGGAAACTAATTATATCATAAATCATGGATCTTTATTTAGGGCCATGAAATTTCACTTGAGGATCAGTTTCTGCGATTTCACACTTCCTATGTCTAATGTTTAAGCAAAGTATTTCTCTGGGGGACCTTCGGCTTGGAGCGCCTCATAGATATCCGGCTGTGGAGTCCCTTGGGTACTACTACGGGAAACCAAGAAGTGCGCGCTCAGCCTCGCTGCCTTCATATAGTTTTTTCGGTGTTATTAGTAATGCCTTTTTTCCATCCATACGTCATAGCTTTCCACCGAGAAAAACCTTTGCGCAAATAACCAAATTTAAACCTGCAACTAACTCTACTTTTTACAGAAGTCCTCGTACCGTCTCAGCCATTATTGGGCCAATAAGTCTAACTCCCTGGTAGTCTAAAAATTTCATGATCTAGTTCCTTCCTAACCTACTTTTGGGGAACATTAGACATAT